GCCTCTCGGATTTACTCAATAAACAGAAGGTCAGATTCAGTGACCCTTAAAAATGTGGAGAGAGGGGCCAGAGCAATAGTACAGTGGGTAGGGCGTTCGCCTTTTGTGCAGCCAACTGGGGTTCGATCCCCCGTGTCTCATGTGGTTCCCTGAACACAGCCAGGAGTAATTCCTGAGTGTAGAGTTAGGAATAATCCTTGAACATTGCTGGACGGGATCCCAGAAGCAGAAAAAGCAAACAGAGAAAAAGAGCAGAGAGAATGGAGAAGGAATTCAGCGGGCCCTTGTGTGGCATCCCTCACCTCTGGGTGTTAACACTACACCTACTTTTGTAGTCTCTGAACTTCCTCCCTGATGCTGGCGATGCAAGGGGCACCGGGGAGGCTGGCCTGTGTATGATGGACATTATTTTTCTTCCCCTTACCTCTGCTTCTAAGAGACTGACTTTGAGTGTGTGTGTGTGTGTGTGTGTGTGTGTGTGTGTGTGTGTGTGTTATTTTGGATGGTGGGATTGTACCCTGGTTATGTGTCACAGCTGTGGTTTGGCAGAGCTGAAGTCCTAGCCCTGAGACTTTTATCGGTACCCTTAGAAAAGTTACATGACCTCTCGGTTTCCTCATTTCTGAATTGTTGATGATGCCTTCTCCTTCCTTGTAGGATTTGTCGTGAGGATTAAACAGGGTTATGCATGCCAGCAGCCGGGGACAGTTCCTGGCACTCAGTAACGTCCATTGTAAATCTATTTTTTTTTTTTTTTTTGCTCTTTGGGTTCACACACGGCGATGCACAGGGGTTACTCCTGGCTCTGCACTAAGGAATTACTCCTGGAGGTGCTCAGGGGACCATATGGGATGCTGGGAATCGAACCTGGCTTGGCCGCATGCAAGGCAAACGCCCTACCCTCGGTGCTCGCTCCGTTCTATGGTTCCAGCCCCCCATTGTAAATCTTAACTATTTTTGCATTTCTGTTGATTGGGGTGAATGATAGTATTTTGTGTTTAATACGAAAGGAAAATTACAGCTTTTGTTCATTTATTTGAAGAAAATAAATGCTCAGGGACTGCTCCGGGCTCGGTGCCTGGGGGACCAGTGGGGGGGGGGGGGAGGCGGAGGGGGAGCCGGCTGGGCTCCTGCCCACTGAACGAACTCTCAGGCCTCAGAACTGCAGCCTGGAAGAAGCATACATGCCCCCAAATGTTTTATCCCTTACTTTAGAAAGAACTTTTTCATAGGTTTTGGTTTGGGGTCCGTACCTCCTGGTGGTTCCTGGGGGCCATTCCTGACCTTGTGGTACCCTTATCCTTGGGGATTTGTCCGAGTGGGACTGAGGTGCCATGTGCTGGCAACTGATTCAGGCTTCTTCCCCGCAATGCCAGTGTGCTCAGTCCATTGAGCCAGCTGCCCCCTCAGCCCTTACTTTTAGTGTGTTCATTCCCCCTTCCTTCCCCTTTATTGCTGTGATTGTTCTGGTGGTGCCGGGTCGCCCACCCTTCCTTAGTTGTGGTGCTCCCTCACATTCTGGTTGTCAGGCTCGACTGTGGGGCCACTCTAGGGCTCATACAGATGTGCTCCTGGAGTTGGCCGCACCCCTGGCCTTGTGCTCATGCTTCTTTTAAGTTGTGATGCTTGCTGACTTTTACATTCACTTTTTTTTTTGAAACTAAGACCAACAGAAGGGTCACAAAAGTCGTAAAAGTTAGAAGTTCCTTCTGCCTCTCCTAGGAGTGTATTTCTGTGTCACTGTCATCAGAAGTAGGGTGGCAGGATGGGTACAATCCTGGAGCCAGGCTCCAGCTTCCTGCCAGCATCGTATTTAGCTGAGACCCAACCCCGCAATTGCCTTGAGGTGTTGTTTCTCCCTAGCCTGGCACCCCCCCACCCCGTGTACTCCCCCCTCCCCCCCTTGCTGTGCTGCCTCTTTCCTGGTGTTGGCATATTTGAAGAGTGCTGATTTTTTTTTTTTTGTCCACGTTCCAGAGGTGGGTTTATTTCAAGTCACTCGTGATTTGAATGCAAATAAGCATTTTTGGCAAGAAGTGATGCGTTCTATTTAGTGCATCATGGCAAGGGGTTCAAGACATTGCCACTTTAGCACTGGTGGATTTTGACCCTTTAGCTGAGGTGCCCTGCTTCACTGGGAGACATCGCTGCCCGTCCCTCTGCAGTTCCTGGTTCCTATTTGTCCTTGCTTCCTTTCCTCCAGGGGCCTTGGAAACAGGAACTTTGAGCAAAATCATTATAAAGAAATTGGATAATGTGTTGTACAGAGTTGGCCAGGACATTCTCCCATTCCATCCCTCACCCCACCCAAAACAATGTTATGACAAATCTGTGTTGAAGAAGACTTTGAATGAACAAGGTAATTTGAAGACTATCTGTATATATATTGGGGTAGATATTTTCATGCATCTGAAAAAAAAATCTCTGCTTATTTTCAAACTTTTTTCCGTGAATTTTGGCATCCATCATTGGATCTTCAAGGGCAGTATACTCAGAGATTCAAAGTACTGACTGAGTTATCTTATTTGAGACAAGAAACTGGATATTGTGCCTACGATTTTTTTCCCTTCCACCTCTTCAAGGTGGAATCTTCAAGGAAGAATTGTTCAGTTATTTATGTATGTTGTCATTCTTCAAAATAGTCCACCTTTGATTGTTAGGTACTCTTTCAGTTTGACTTTTTGACTTCCTTCCTTCCTTCCTTCCTTCCTTCCTTCCTTCCTTCCTTCCTCTTTTCCTCCCTCCCTGTCTCCCTCCCTTTATCCATGGGACTCAAACCCAGGCCCTCACATGTGTAAGTCAAGCACTCTACTGTTGAGCCATATCCCTGGCCTCTCTGGTGTTTTGCCAAAAAGCCTCAGCTTTTCAGGAACTCTTCCTTACTTTCTGTGACCATGAGACATTTCAGGATTGGCGTAAGTTTTCCTTTTACTAGCCCGGAGATCAATGAGCTGCTTCTTGGAGAGTGGTGTGTAGAATTCAAGATTTAGGTGTTAGGGTACTTATTTCTATGAAAATGTCATTGTTATACGTCTCAGCAGATAGACTTAGGCAATGTAGGAATACTACCTAACCTACATATATGTGTGTGTGTGTGTGTCTATGTGTGTGTGTGTGTGTGTGTATATATATATATATATATATATATATATATATATATATATGAGCCATAGCACAGCGGTAGGGCGTTTGCCTTGCACGCGGCCAGCATGGCCGACCCGAGTTCGATTCCTCCGCCCCTCTCGGAGAGCCCGGCAAGCTACTGAGAGTATCTCGCCCGCACGGCAGAGCCTGGCAAGCCACCCGTGATGTATTCGATATGCCAGACACAGTAACAACAAGTCTCCAATGGAGACGTTACTGGGCCCGCTCGAGCAAATCGATGATCAACGGGAGGGCCTTTACTTTACTTTACTTATATATATATATATGTATGTATCTTATCAGTCTATGTGGGTGTACAATAGAAACCATGAATTTATGTTGACACCTCTGATTCTAGTCCATGGGCATAGAGCTCATTTTCTGTTATTATTTTATGTTGTCATTGTGTTTGGACCGTACCTGGTGCTCCTCGGGAACTGCGCCTCGCGGGGATGAACCATGCAGTGTTGGGGGTCAGCCAGGGGCTTCTGCACCAGCATGTGCTCCAGCCCTTGAACTCTTCCTGCTCACCTCAGGGCTCATTTTAACTTTTACTTTGGACTTTTCCTCCAACAGTGAGAAACCCAGTTTTCATTTTCTATTCTGAATACTTACATGTTCAATTCTAGTATATACACGGGACAGTTTTAGAATAGTCAATCCAATAGCTGACTTGGTGACAGGATGTGTGTTTCTGTACCGCCCTAAGCATGCACTTAGGTTCAGCCTCTCTTCTCCCCTCTTCGGTGTGGTTATGGGATTCATTTGTGACGCAGGGAGGGCCATTTTTAGTGCTTGTGTTTCGTTTTGTTTTCTCTCTGCATCCTGTTAGGTCGTGTTTATTTGGGGGGTATTTAAAGGGTATGTGGGATAAGCTATGTCGCTCTAAGAGCCAGAGTTACCCAGAAAGACCCGTGTAGTGTCACTTCCTCTTCTGCTGTCCTTCCCACGTAGCCTTCGCAGACCATCATTTCTGTCATTCTGGTTATCCTTTGTTATGTAGATACGTGAGCAGCTAGCATTTTTATCACTCAGAGTTGGGATGTTTAGTTAAATGCAAATTCTTGGTCTGGAGAGATAGTACAGTGAATAGGGCACTTGCTTCGCGTGCTGTTTGTTGACCCTGGTTTGATCGCTGGCTGGCACCAGATGGGGTCCCCGGAGTCCTGCCAGGAGTGATCCCTGAGTACAGAGTCAGGAGTAAGCCCTGAATATCACTGGGTGTGACCCTAAAACAAAACAAAGATGTGAATACTAATGGAATCTAAATCTCTAAGAATGGGTACCAGATGTATGCATTTTAACCAACTTCCCTTGTGTATTTGTTTATTTTTGTTCTGAATTAGAAGGTTAATATAGTTTGACAAGTCAAATGACGCTAAAACAGATAATACTTTTAAGTTTTTTTCTCCATTGTAGTTGTAATATGTATTCATTTTAATATGTCAGACATAAAAACATGTAATCTTGGTAATCAGTGTTATCCATTTTAGCCATTTTAGATTTTAAAAAATGCTTGTATGAATGCTACCAGTCTAATGGCATATTTTTGTGTATATAATATCTACTTATTTAGATGGATTCAGGTATTTTATATGGTTGTTATTTAGATTGAGTTGTTTCTGTGCTTTAAAATTTTCTTCTGTAGACTGAAGTGAATTTAATCTATTTACCTAATAGTTCCAAGCTTCAGATAGCTCATTTGCAGAATAATTTTCAAAATGTGTGCTAGGACAAGAGCCATCTGTTACTTCCCTTCTCAGGGATTTAAGTACAATGGAGGGTCACTGGGGGAAGCTTTGTTTTGCAGATGTGTCTGGTGTCTACTTAGCTGTAGTGATGTTTGTACCTTGCAGTACCTGGCAGAAGCTGGCTGGACGGCTGAAGGAAGGGTCGTGGGCATCACCCAGCCTCGTAGAGTGGCCACCGTCACAGTGAGTTTCTGCTTCATGTTGCAAAGATTCAATCTGTGTCTCCTGTTGCACTGCTGTATTTTTTTCATTTCCTAAAAACGCAAATGAATATGACATTGAAGAGAATTCTTCAGTGTAAAAAAAGACCTATGGTCTGATTATTTTGGTACATTTAATGCCTAGAGAGTGAGTTTGTAGTTAATTATTACAAAGTACAGTGCAAGTCAAAATAAACAGTAAAAGTACTTAAAAGTAACCGAAATCTCACCCCCCCCAATAAAACAATCTGAATATCAATGAACATCACTTCAAGTTTCTCTTTTATGTTTCCATAAAGATAAATGGTTGGCCAGATTTTCATTTTTTTCATTTCATCATCCTGTTATTCGTCGATTGCCTCGAGCAGGCCCCAGTAACGTCTCTTTCATCCTAGCTCTGAGATTATATTCAAGGCTCTTTAGGAGAATGAGACCCATCATTGTTACTGGTATTTGGCATATTTGGTACGCCACGGGGAGTTTGCCAGACTCTGCCCTGTGGGCAGGCTACATTCGATAGCCTGCAAGTTTGTCCAAAGTAGAAATGAGATAATAAGATGTCATAAAAAAGATGTCCTGATAAGATGTCACGCGGCCGCATTTGGTTCCGGGAGCTGGATTTTATAGTCTCTGAGTCTTGGCTGTTGATGGGATTACACAGCGCCAGGGGGCCAGGTGGTGGATGTGACCCCCGCCTACTGGAATTTGGAGGATCTGGGTGGAGGATGCTTGACTCCAATCCGAGTAGGCTTGGAGATCTCGGCCCCGGAACCCGCGTGGATTTGTCCCTCTGCCAGTACCTTCATGTGTGTGGAGAGTGGTCTCAGCATGGCGGTGGCTGGTCCAAGTCCTTCTGATCAAGGCCCAGCCCGTGGTTGGCCAGATGAACAGAAATAAGTTTTTGGTTTGTATTGGGGCCTCACGTGGCGTTATTTAGGGCTTACCTCCTGCTCTGTGCTCCTGGCAGGGCTCCAGGGACCACGTATGGATATGGTGCCAGGAATTGAACTGGGGTTAGCCAGGGGCAAGACAAGACTTTTAATTTTTTTTGTAATAGGTAGGGAAAGGAATCTAGGAGTATCTCTCTGGCCTCAGAAATGAGACCAGTGCCAGGTATATTTGCTTTTGTCAAATTTGATGAAAGAGGGAACTGAATTGAAATAACTCTAGTTATTGAATTTTGGATATATATTTGTTCACCATAAGTTTTTGGTTTTTGTATAAATAAGAAGTTCTTTGCTATTTAAATATGCTCCAGAAGTGAAGAGTTTATATAAAATTCAGTATCAGTTTTTTTTTAAAGTTTTAAAATTAAGAAAAGAAGCTTATAAAAATCTTTAACTTGTTACTAGTTTTTTGAAACTGTTATAGTTTCCTGTTATAACTATACAAAACTAAAGAACCTTATTCTTTCTGCCTTTTCTCTATTTATTGATATAGGTCTATAAATTTTTATTTTAAAATTTATACCACATCCTCTTCTATAGTCATAATTCCCAAGGGTTTAATTATAATGCTATTTTATTTTATTAATTTTTTTCCTTTTTGGGTCACATCCGGCAATGCACAGGGGTCACTCCTGGCTCTGCACTCAGGAATTATCCCTGGCGGTGCTCAGAGGACCATATGGGATGCTGGGAACCGAACCTGGGTTGGCCGCGTGCAAGGCAAACGCCCTGCCTGCTGTGCTATTGCTCCAGCACCCCCTTTTTGTTGTTTGTTGATTAAGAATTTTTAAAGCTGATAACACCACAATTTTTAAGCTCCAGAAAACCAGGAATGTGTTTATATTAACTGCATGATAGATTGCTGCAAATTTTGACTACATTATCATATCAGTGATTTTCTTACCTTTATTTTCCTACAGAGAGAGCAAAACATTTTACTGTTTATCATGATCAATTCAAATTTTCCCCTCCCCAACTTTTTGTTTGTTTATTTTTGTTTTGGACCACACCCAGTGATGCTGGGGGTTTACTCCTGGCTCTGCACTCAGGGACCACTCCTGGTGGGCTCTGGGGACCATATGGGATTTTGGGGATCGAACACGGGTCTGCTGAGTGCAAGTCAAGCACCTTATCTGCTGTACTATCTTCCCAGCCCTTATAAATTTTCCTTTTATTATTGATGCAGTGAAAAAAGTTCCTGTAGCTTTGTAAGTGGTCATGAAAATCATGAAATTCGAATTTAATTTGGGGAAAGCCTCTATGAGACCTGGAGGATTTCTGCAGATTGACCCTGAACTGTGTACATGAGATCTCATAGCTTCTGAACTGGAGATGTGAGACCTTGTTTCTCCTTAGCTGTCCTTCACACTGTGTCTCTTCCTTGAGGAAGTTTTAGCATGAGCCCGTGATTTCTCAGAAATTTGATTTCTATGGGTAAATTCTCCTTCTCTTTCCTTGGGTAATCCTTCCACTGTTTTTCCTTTGAGTTCCTTTTTGTTTGTGTTTCTTTCTTCCTTTTTTCTTCTTTCCTGTACTGTTATAGTGCAAGGGTCTTACGTGAGCCCTCTTCTCTGCGGGGGCCCTGCCCAGCAGTGCTCAGGAGTCCAGGAGCCGCTGCTCCCTGCTATCTTCAGCCTGGTAGGGTGGGCCTGACAGTTGCATGCTGGTCCTGGCAAAGTGTTGAGGACTGCAAGTACAGGAACCACCAGGACAACGCCTGGAATACCTGGGGCACCCTATAATGCCTGGGCAAGCTGAGGCCACATGCCTGCAAGATTGTTCCATCCTGGAACAATCTCTCTGGTGGTTGTGTGGGCATTTTTCTGCTAATTGCACACCTTTTAGTGCAGTCACCGAATACTGCAGACTTGTGCAGGTCTGGCCAGCACGCACGCTCTTCCCCACCTCTCTCCTGTTAGGGAGTGAGAGTGAAGATTTGATGGCACAGTCCTCAGTGGTTTGAAAGGTCTGTAGGGCTCACAATTCTTTTTTTTTCTTTTTGGGTCACACTCAGATGCTCAGGGGTTACTCCTGGCTCTGTACTCAGGAATTACTTCTGGCGGCGCTTGGGGGAATCATATGGGATGCTGGGGATTGAACCCAGGTCAGCCGGGTGCAAGGCAAACGCTCTACCCGCTGTTCTATCACTCCGTCCCCGCACAATTAATTCTTTGGGCTCAGCGATGTGGGATTTGCCTGCCTTCTCCTTCGGCTCCCCTTCTTTGGCGGCTCTTTGCTGTCAGAATGAATCTCCGTTGATGGCCCTCCATGTGTCTCTCAGGCCTCAGCACTCTGCCTGCTGAAATTACTGATAAATGCTTTCTGAATCTGGTGCGTGGAAAACTGGGGAGAACTCTTATGTCACTAAAGGTGACTCACTTACTTAGAAATTAGAGCCGTGCTCTTCTGTTTGTGGTTTGGAATCTCAGCTCTGACTCGGTCTGCAGTTTAGCTCCAAATTTGTAGCTGTGGATAATTTCCATGAAACCACATGCTTTCTCTGGAAAGAACAAAGGGTTTATAAATTAGCCGTGGAATATTAATAGTTGTCGGGTTTGGAAAAGCTACATCTCAGAAAGAACTTCGTGTGCACTGAAATCTGAAAACAATCGCAGCACCTAAGAACAGATTGCATAAGCGGTTGCTTGATCTCCGTGAGAGGCAATTACTGATGCAGATGCCCCGGGGACTCCTATGGTTTGGGTTTGATTTCATGGGATGCCCTGCCTTGACCTGGGATCCAGGAAAAACTCTAATGCCTGACTATCTTGAGTTTCTTCCTTGGTGAAAGCAGGAGCATCTTGAGGCTGGGGAGATAGCTTACAGGCCTGGAGTGCATACTTAGCCTGCCAAACCTCAGGTTTGATCCCTGGCACTGCATGGCCCCCTGGGAATAGCCCCTGGCCCCTGAACCAGGCAAAAAGAATAAAGAGAGCATTCTGGGTTATAAAAGCTTATTCCACACCAAGTGCCTCATGTGGACTGTTATTGTTTTGTGTCTCCCTTTTTCTATGCTTATTTGTTTCTGTTAAAAAATAGAATATTCATTCCAGTTCGTAGTGGTGTTGTATTTAAAAAATTATATATATATATATATATATATATAAAAATTGGGGGGCAAGAGAGCTAGTACAGTGGGTAAAGCGCTTGCCTTGTTTGCACCCAGTCCATATTGATCTCTGGCACTCCATATGGTCACTGGTTTCAGAGCCAGGAGTAAATTCTGAGCATGCTAGGTGTGACCCTAATCGTGAAAAAAAATTTATTTTAAGTTTATCTTTTATTTTGGGGGGGGTAACACCCAGAGGCACTTGAGGGCTACTCCTGGCTCTGTAGCTGTGTTTGGGTTTGCTCCTAGTGGTGCTGGGACCATGTAGTACCAGGCATTAAGCTTGGGTTTCCTGCATGCAAAGAGTGTGCTCAATCCATTGCACCATCGGCCCCTTATTTCGATTAGATCTTAAACCATAGAGGTAAAAGATTCACTGTTACTATCACTGTCCTCCCGTTGTTCATCGATTTGCTCAAGCGGGCCCAGTCACATTGTGAGAATTTTGTTACTGTGTCTGGCATATCGAGTACGTCACTGGGAGCTTGCCAGGCTTTGCCGTGCGGGCAAGATACTCTTGGTAGCTTACTGGGCTCTCCGAGAGGGGCAGAGGAATAGAACTCGGGTCAGCCCAGTTGGCCGCGTGCAAGGCAAACGTGCTACAGGCTGTGGTATCGCTCCAGCCCGAGGTAAAAGATTTCTAATTTAAATTAGTCTATATGATATACCTTTCAGATGTTAAGTGTTAAGACCATAAATGATTTTTTTCCCCCCTTCCTTTCCTTTATTTTTGGCATGTGTGTGTTTTGAGCCCCATTTGTCATTGCTCAGGGCTTACTCCCAACTCTGTACTTGGGGATCACTCCTGACATAGCTTGGGGGACCAGGTGGGATATAACAGGAATTGAACCTGGGTCAGCCATTTGCAAAGCAAGTATTCACCGTACTAGCTCCCTGGCCCATTGGAAAAAACATTTAAATATTGAAATAAAAAAAATTTATTCATGATTGGGTTTCAGACTTACAATGTTTCAACACTGATTCCTTCACTAGTGTCCACTTTCCTCCACCAGTGGTGCCTCCTCCACCCCGTTTGCCTTCCATCCACCAGTCTGCTTCTACAAGAGGCTCTATTTTAATTTAATTTATTTATTTTTTTTTTTGTTTTTGGGCCACACTCAGCAGTCCTTAGGGATTAGTCCTAGATCTGCAGAGATCCCTCCTGTGTGGTACTTGGGGGACCATTTGTTGTGCAAAGGATGAGCCTGGGTTGGCCGCATGCAAGTCAAACTCCCTACCCACTGTATTATTCTAGCCTCAGAGGCTCTTTATATATATGTATATATTATATATAATGCATATAATATTTAATGTATATATAATATATAATGTATATAATATATACATATATAACTTTTGCATTGTGGTTTATGGTACGTTGTTAATAGGGCTTCATACAAATGACTTTTATAGTAAATTTATGCAAATAGTAAAATAATATATTTACTTGTACTTTATAGACCCATAGATGATTATAATTTTAGGGAGAGGGTTGGTCCATTTATGCACAAGCCTATTTTCCTCAGAAGCTCCTTTTATCTCTAGGCTCACATGCACTCTTCATACCTTAGTCCAAGATTTACAGTGTCCTGATGGCTAGGGTTGAAGTTGAAACCACATTGTCCTGGAGAAATACTGATTATCAGGGTGCCAGTAACTTGCAGACATAGAGCAGTGTGGGATGGGTAGTTCTGGTCTCATGAGATGTTTTGAAAGACTGCGTGGTGGAGACCAGCTGCTCAGTGACAGAGTCTGTTTTGGCCAACCAGATCTATAATTTCAAGTCATTAGGCAGAGTCACTTCTCATCCTCATCAGCGTGCTCTTCAATTTCTTTCTTTCTTTCTTTCTTTCTTTCTTTCTTTCTTTCTTTCTTTCCTTCCTTCCTTCCTTCCTTCCTTCCTCCCTCCCTCCCTCCCTCCCTTCCTTCCATCCTTCCTTGTTTCTTTCCTTCCTTCTTTCTTTCTGGCTCCATACAGCTAATAACTTTAAAAAATTATTTCTTATTTATTTAAAGAAATGTGGTTAGTTTCAGCATACTATATATATATATTTTTTTTTTTTTTTTCTTTTTGGGTCACACCCTGCGATGCACATGGGCTACTCCTGGCTCTTCACTCAGGAATCACTCCTGGCAGTGCTCAGGGGACCATATGGGATGGTGGAAATCGAACCCAGGTCGGCCACGTGCAAGGCAAATGCCCGCCCTGCGGTGCTATCACTCCAGCCCCAGCATACAATATTTCAACACCATTCCCACCACCAGTGTCAATGTCCTTCCACCAGTGTCCCCATACTCCATCCCGCCTCCCCAGCCTGCCACCTTGGCAGGCACATTGCAGAGTTCCGTGGTTGCAGCTTTGATCTCGTGTTTTAAGTGTCGTTGAGTCTGTTCTTTGGGTATATGGCTATACCACACTTTAGTTTCTTAAACGCCGACGGCCAGATAATGATGACGTGTGAGGCTCAGAAGTCTGGGGCTGCTTCTGCCCTCTGGCTTAAATGGGAAGTTCTGCCGTAGGACCCCTCCTGTGTGTTCTGAACTCAATCCACGGATAATGTGGGGAGGTGCCTTCTGTGAGAGATACACGAAGTGCTATTTCACATGGGAGCAGGTGTGCCAGCTCCCTGGAAACCCCTAAAATTATTTCTTTGGCTCCTTTTTTTATTTGGTATGTATGATGGGCATGGAACTATTTGCTTTGAAGTTTAGCTATTGCTCTTTCACTTTTATAGTTATTATTTCAAATACTTCCAATTCATGAGTTAATAACCTTTAAAGGGCAGTAGGGGATCTTGCTGTTTGATTCCTTTCCTCTCTTTCCTTATTGGCTAGTGAAATGTTGATCTATAATTTACTGTCTTCATAGTGCATTATGTATATTGTTTTCTTTGAATTTAATATGTTAACTTGGAGCTTTATGAATCATTTAGCCTTTATTTTTTTTTTAACCTGCATTCTTGTTTTTAGTTCTTCTTGTAATGATTTTTGGTAGCTGGGGTACTGTTGCAAATTGTTTGAGGTTAACTGACTCTTGAAAAGTTACCTATTTGCCAGTAAGAGAAAATGAGCTTGTCTTGTATTCAGTTAGGTTACTTCTCTTCTCCTGCCCTCTGGTCCAGTAAAATATGCTTTGCTTCAAGTCATGAAGACATGAACTTTTCTACACAAATAGTGTGCTAAAAAAAGCGTTAGAAACAGGGGTGCTTGTTGTCTCTTTCCCTTCCTTTTTGCTTTGCTGCCATGAAATTCAGAGCCTTTTTGTGATTCGAATACTCAAGCATGGCTTTTGTTTTGAAATTTTCTTATTGGTTGTGATCTTTTGAATTCTTTTTTCTTGCTATTTTTTTGTTTGTTTGTTTGTTTGGGGGCCATACCTGGTGATGATTTGGAGTTACTCTTGGCTCTGCACTCAGGAACTACTCCTGGAGATGCTCAGGGTCCATATGGGATGCCAGGGATTGAACTCAGATTAGTCACCTGCAAGGCAAGTGGTGCCTTACCCATTGTTCTATCACTCTATCTCTCTGGCCCTGATCTTTTGGATTCTACCTGTAATTTATTTGATTTGACCATTTAACACTTTTATGGGATTCAATTTCTATTGTCTCTGTTCTTTTTTTTTTTTTTTTTGCTTTTTGGGTCACACCCAGCGATGCTCAGGGGTTATTCCTGGCTCATGCACTCAGGGATTACTCCTGGCGGTGCTCGGGGGACTATATGGGGTGTTGGGAATTGAACCTGGGTCGGCTGCATGCAAGGCAAACTCCCTACCCACTGTGCTATCTCTCCAGCCCTGTCTCTGTTCTTATAGGTGTTCTCAAGCCAATTATAGAATGAGGTGAGAAAGAATGAAGTTCATAAATATCCCAGGTTATCCCACTTATTCGCTAATGACCTGTCCCCTTTTAATTTTCTTTTGTGCTGACTTGCGGTTTAAAGATAAATGACCTTTTGGTTTTGCATAGTCTGTGCTCTGTGCAGTAATTTCTATGTCTCTATTTTCAGCATGATCTTTCTTCCCAAAGGTTGCAGGGAGAGTGGCTGAGGAAAGGGGTGCAGTGCTGGGCCACGAGGTGGGCTACTGCATCCGCTTCGATGACTGCACGGACGCGCTGGCGACAAGAATTAAGGTGAGGTGCTCCAGCTACTTGTCCTGTTGTGAGTGAAGGGAAAATGTGCGGAAATGTGCAGCCATTGCTGCTGACCAGGACCCTGATAGCGTGGCAGAAAGTATAGGATAGCATCTGGTGGGGGGTTTGGAGCTTTAGCGGAGCCTCGAATCTTCCACAAAGAGCCACGAAGTAAGATTGTTCCTATATATGAAGACGTTGAGGGCCTAGAAAATTCAAATACTGTCCTGACATGTCCCTGAGTGGTAGAAGAGGACTCAGAGCTGTCTTTTTTTGTGTGTGTATTGTTGCTTTTCCACTCATCCAAGTCTGAGTATCCAAAGTTGCCTGTAGAAGATTTGAAAACTGGGGCAAGATGTTTTCATCTTGTAGGACATTGAACGCCTGAAGCGCCATCATAAGTATCTTTGTAACTTTGTAATTCATGGCAATTCAATAAAACAAAACAAAACCAAAATAATAGGGGCAAATTGACAAAGTCTAGAATTCACAAATATCTTTATGCTGGTCCGAATCTCCCATGGTACATGATGGTAGGTATTTTTGTGTATGTTCTTTGACCTAGTTGCTAATATTAAAATAATACGCATAAACAGTAATCAGTGTACAATCGACTCAACACAGTGTCTACTGTGTACCACTGTGCTGGAATCAAAGTCTAGGACTGTAGAGCAGTGAATAAAAATGCCCTGAAGAAATGGATGTTGGTTACGAGATGTCATTCATCTCTCAACTTGCAGTGGAGGAAAATTGAAAATCAGGTCAGGTAAATGCAGTGATTTGTAAAAAGATTGGCCTTTTCTAAATTTCTTCGTTTTGTTTCCTTCGATATTCACTTTGCTAAGTTAAAGAAGAAATAGTCTTCTGTACCATCAGATAAATTTAAATTTGTCAATTCAGATACATTTTCAGTAGATTATATAAGCAAATGATTAAGTTCATGAAATGCATGTCTTTCATGAAAAGCATGCCATCATTTGCTCAGAATTTGAAGGTGCCCCCCCCTCCCACTTTTTTATTGTTTTTGGGCTATGCTCACCAGTGCTGTGCTCAGGGATCGCTCCTGGCAGGGCTCAGGAGACCATGTGCAGTTCTGGGGTTTGAACCTGGGTCAGCTGCATGCAAGGCAAGTGCTCTATGTCTTTATTTTCAGCGTGATTTTTCTTCCCAAAGGTTGCAGGGAGAGTAGCTGAGGAAAGGGGTGCAGTGCTGGGCTACGAGGTGGGCTACTGTATCCGCTTCGATGACTGATGCATCTGGCCACATGTGCCTCAGTCTTGGCCGATTATCTGTTTTTGGTGGCAAGTTCTACCTTCTCTTCATTATATATGGCAGTGGATATCCTCTCTAAGAAAAATAAGATAAAGTGGGTTCGAGAGAGTATTGTGGGTAAAGTGTTTCCTCCTGTTCAGTTCCTGGGACCCTGTGTGGTTCCCCTCAATACTGTGAAGTGACCCCCTGAGCACAGAGCCAGGAGCACACGCTGAGCACTGCCAGATATGGCCCAAATAGCCCCACTCCTCAAAAAAAAAATGGGAAAACATCCTGTTCTTCTGAACAAAAAGTAAAAACAAAACAAACAACAAACAAAAACCAAAACCCCACTAATTTATCTAACTTGTGAGAGAGAAGTTTATATTTAACTTTGTGAAAGTACCTAATTGTTTTGAGGAGAAAGTCACAAGATCTAGTATTTCTTTCTAAAGTCCTTTATAAACCTCCATTAATTGCAAGGGTAAAAGCTGAAATTTTGAACATTATCTGTGTCCTAGGGCCTGATCTAAATGCTTCACACGCACTTTTTCAGTCCTTACCACAACCCCAATAACCCACTAAGGCTTATTTTTTTTGTAAGTGAAGACTCAGGTTCAGAGTGAATAACTGCCCACAGCCCAGACAGTGGTCAGAGGTAGTCTGGACCTCAACTCCCAGTGCTCTGACACCTGTTCCCGTAACCACAACCCCATATTGCCTCCTTCAAATAATAGCATTTGCAAGAGAGGTTAATGACCTCAAGCACTGCATGTCTGTCCCCTTTGGGATGTTTCAAGACCCAATTATCCATTGGGTGGGCACATGTTTGTGTTCACTGCCTGTTCTTTAGGAGTCTTCAGAGCTGCAGGCCTGGAGGCCTGGGCTGACCCATGTTCTGATCGTCAGTACAGATGCTATCAGAATTGAGTTCTGCTGAAAGATTTACTGCCTCCAGCTGAGGAAATCTGGAGTTCAAAATCCTGCGAACAGTTCCATTGCTTAATGCTAAAATTCTGGGACATTTTCTGAAAGTTTTTTTTTTTTTTTGGGTGGGAATTGTTTACATGCCAGTGAAGAGATGAAATGTATTTGAATGCACTTGAATTTGGTACAGAGTATAAATTAATTCTAAAACTTCCTGTTTTTCTTTTCCAGTTTCTGACTGACGGAATGTTGGTCAGGGAAATGATGGTTGATCCACTGTTAACAAAGTACAGGTAAATGTATTTTTTTGTTCTGACACTTTTCCTCAAGTTCCAAAAGCACGCAGGTAGCATGAAAAGTAGTTTGTTATAGTGGGGGTTTGTGTCTTAAATCAGCAGCTCAGAGCCTTTCTCCTCACCATGGGTGTTTTTCTCTATCATATCCCATGTTTGATGGTAACTGCAGAATCACGGTGTAGCACTGGGCGATATTCCGTTGAATATAGTTTGCCGGATCCAAATCAGAATTTACACTTGCATGTCTTTGTCCATCACTGTGACCTTCAAGTGGTCCCACCCAGGCTCTGGAGCATTCTGGGAAAGGATGTCACATTGGACTTCTAAGTAGCCCACATCACATCACCTGCCTCTTTCTTCTGCCTCTTTATTTTCTGTAGTAGGTAGTTGAGCCTTGTTTTGACTTTTTAATATGCTCTGTGAATTTTAACCATTTATAATTTAATTTAAAATCAGGTGTTAGATCTTATTGGACACCAAATGAGGGTGGTAAAGCTCTTCAAAGAAACCAGGATACATTGACCCTTTTTTTAGTTGTGTTAAGTGTTGCTTCCTTGTATCAGAAGAATTCAGATTTTCCTTTTGATACCAGGTTGCATGGGTCTGGGTTTGTCTACCCAGAGGTCTAAGGATGGTCTGGCTGGGGTTAAGGGTGAAGTTTTTTTGGATGATGCCTGAGGTCTTACCTCTGATCCTTAGTGTCATTATGCTGGATGAAGCCCATGAGAGAACCTTGTACACTGACATTGCCATTGGCTTGCTGAAAAAGGTAGGTCTTCACTGCCAGATTGTGTGTGTGTGTGTATGTGTGTGTGTGTGTGTGTGTGTGTGTGTGTGTGTGTGTGTGTGTGTGTGTGTGATGCTGAGAATCAAAACCAAGCCTTGGGTTGGATCCCAGGTACTGCCCTCCCCTGCAAAAAAAAAAAAAAAAACTACTCCTACAGAGAAAAATCACTGGTAGAATGTTGTTTATGGGTTTTGGGCCACACCTAGCAATTTTCAGGGACTGAGGTGTTGAGATTGAACCTGAGTTGGCTGCATGCAGGGCAAGTGTCTCAATCCCTGTTCTGTCTCTTTTTCCCTTTTTATGTTGGTGTGTTTTTCTTTGTTATGTGGCATGTACATACATTTGTTTTGACTAATAGGAATTAGATTGCATGTGCTAATTTGTATTTTGCATTGTCTCACCATTATATCAAACTCCTTTTTCTATATCATTAAATATTCTTAGAAGAGATCATTTTAGTATCTGCCACTAACTAAATTAAGTATCTTCCATAAAGTATTTCACTCTTCTACTATGAGGCATTTGCATAGCTTCCAGATTTGAAATATTTTCAGCAATTTTCACTGAGTACCTTTGAAATAAAAACTGTTGCATTTTTCTTTCTTTCTTTTTTCTTTCCTTCCTTCCTTCCTTCCTTTTTTCTTTCGTTCCTTCCTTTCTTTCTTTCTTTCTTTCTTTCTTTCTTTCTTTCTTTTTCTCTTTCCTTCTCCCTCCCTCCCTCCCTCCCTCCCTCCCTCCCTCCCTCCCTCCCTCCCTTCCTTCCTTCCTCTTTATTATAGATGATTTGAAACATACCTCAGAGACAAGAGAAGGATTTAATGATCCCCATCATTTGGAGCATATAGCCAGTCTTGTTTCAACTTTATCTTCATCCTTTCTGTACTTTCCATGTTTCCTGATTGTTTTCTTTGTGAGAATTCCCTGTTGTAGGCCACTAGGAAGAGAGGACAGTCCCAGGGTGATGGAAGGTATGCACCTCTGGTCATGCTACTGGGGCTCCCGATTCTGACTCGGCTGAGTTTATTCACTTCTAAAATGGGAGTGGCAGAAGTCTTTACGTCTAAACTGGATCACCTTCCCTATCTGGTAGCCACCGTCAGCTTAGATTAATATAATACTAAAGATAAAAGTTGAATAGAAGGGTCTGGGGGAGATTTTACTGTGGGGAGGGTGCTTGCCTGGCACACAGCTGACCCGGGTTGCATCCCTGGCACCCCGTGTGGCCCCCCAAACACTGCTTGAGCATAGAACCCAGAGCAAGCTTGGAGCACTCTGGGGGATGGCCCTAAAACGCCCTCTTGCCCACCTCCCCCCAACCCTGCCACGCACAAAAATATTAAATTAAAGAAAAAATTCGGTTCTTCTGTCACACTAGCTCTACCTTGTGTGCTCTGTGGTCACATGGGGCAGGTGGTAACTGCACTGGCCAGAGCCTCCCATCACTGAAGACAGTCTCTGGGACAGAGCCACTTCAGAGCATCATTGGTTGTAAGGCATCAGTAAGATAATGTACAGTTCTGAGGGTGGCACCTTGTCCACGGTCACACGTAGAGTCTGAGGCTCTGTGTCAGTGAGGAGGTGGTGCCCTGCTGTGAGGGCGCACAGCTACATGTGGGCAGACCACTGGGTTCCAGATGACCCAGACTCTGTGGCCGGATCTCTCTGTGCGATACGTGTGTTGTCCAACTGCACAGGGCCCTGAGAGCAGCACAGCCTCCCTTGGGCTAGCCGCCACTGTTTCTGCTCTTTTTCTTCTTATTGTATTTCTTGGTTAGAAATTGAGATTTGTGAATTTTTGGGTCACACCTGGCGAAGCACAGGGGTTCCTCCTGGCTCTGCACTCAGGAATTACCCCTGGTGGTGCTCAGGGGACCCTATGGGATGCTGGGAATCAAACCCGGGTCGGCCGCATACAAGGCAAATGCCCTACCAGCTGTGCTATCGCTCCAGCCCCTGAAATTAAGATTTTTGACCCTTGTGATGATATTATGTCCCTAGCTTGTTACTGTCTCAGGAGCAGTGTTGTGAGAGGGCTTTACCACATCTTTGCCAACACTGAGTATTAGCTTTAAGAAAAACCCTTGCCAATGAAAAAGTCATTTCATTGTTAGTATTGATTTTTTTTTTTGCATTAGTTTATTTGATCGCTTTCCCAGTGCCTGTTGATAGTTTCCTTAAACAACATTTTTGTCTTTGAATGTTTCTGTTCATTATCATTTATTTGCTTTTTATGTACTTTCCCCATATTTTAGTTATAGATGTGTATGTTTAAGTTTGTGTGCTGACTATTAAGATATCCTGACGTCAAGAAAACATGGTTTTGCAGTTGAACATTGAAGCTCAGGACTGTTTTTTGTGTGTGAAGTGGTTTTATTTTGCAAGTAGAAGAGAGAGGTAGAGGGTGGGAGGGGAGAGAGGGAGAAATTGAGAGATTGATTATGTACTTTCTATCATTTGAAAAAACTTTTGCTTTTATGTTCCACGCTAGGGATCAAACCCAGGGCCTCATAGACATGAAGCATGTACTCTTCCACTGAAACTTGTATTCCTGGTTATCTTTTTAGTTTTCCTTTAAAAGCTGTGACACATTCCCCACTAGAAATGTGTAACACATTTGGGAGCTGGAGCAATAGCACAGCGGGTAGGGCATTTGTCTTGCACGTGGATGACCCCGGTTCGATTCCCAGGATCCCATATAGTCCCCTGAGCACCGCCAGGAGTAATTCCTGAGTGCAGAGCCCTGTGCTTTGTTGGGTGGAACCCAGGAAGCTAAAAAAAAAAAAAAAGTGTAACACATTTACTCACTTACAATCAGAAAAGGTAGTGAACCTCCTTGTTACCTGTTTCACCTAAAAAAAAAAAATCTTGCTACCCACCCAAATACATAAATGGAGTCATCTGGATCTAGATTTCCGACATCAGATTATTTCACCCACAAACAGCTCACTGTTTCCTTGCTGCCTTGTGTTTCAGATTCAGAAAAAACGAGGGGACCTGCGCTTGATTGTGGCCTCAGCCACTCTGGATGCGGAGGTGAGAGTGTTTTCCGTGCCTCCCACCTCTACCCCTCCTCCTGGTAAAATCTGCTCCCGTTGGACATGGCCTTGGGAGGTCACTGCGCTTCCGGTGGCCGTGACCTTGAGAAGTCACCTCTGGCGTGGGTTCCTCTGGGGCCGAATGCCTGCGTTTCTGCCGGGGCCGTCGGTGGCCTAGATTCCAGGGCTCCTCCTGTTCAGCTGGTGGATGCAGCTGAGCCTGTAATTAATTGAGTTCATAATTACCTACTTGTCTTGTTTCTCTGCAGATGTGTTTCTCCTTACATGGGCAGTTTCTTCAGTTTCTTACTGTTTTTTTCCATGCGAGCCTTTGTTTCTTGAATTTTATTTATGACCAGTGCCTTTAGATTTTTTTTTTTTTTCGGGAGGAGGAGGGCTACTGTTGAAACTCTCCTCCTGTACATATAATAGTTTCCATGTTAGAACTTTTTTCACGGCCACGTTTACTCCGATTCTCACAGTGACTAATCTTCTGGTCCGAAGAGCAGGTAACTAACAAATAGTCTTGACAACTTTGAAATGTACGTGTGAGACACCTGCCCTCCTGCTGAGTCATCTTCCCAGCTCGATCGGTCGGCTGGGTGCAGGCTGATTCCCGCACTCCTGACGTCCACAGGAAGTGGTGCCACTGACCTGGGTGTTTGTGGCTGTGCCAGTCCAGTCTCTCTGCACTACCACGTGTTGAGAAGGTCTCACAGTGCAGCGCCATCCCAGCTGGCTTTGAAAGACGTCCGGGAGTTTGCCATAGGGGTGGGCAGGCAGGTGGGGCGGAGGGTGTCCGAAACCCCACTCGGAGCACAGGCGACGGGCACTGTGTGTGGCCCGGTCGGGTCTGACTGACTTTGCTGGCAAGGCCCTCCAGGTGAGGAGCTGCCTTTGCTCACCTGCCCGACCCCATCTGCTCCCACTCGTCCTGGGCTTCCTTGTGTGTCAGCCTTCCCATTGCGGTGCCCAGCATCCTCTGCTGGGCTGGGCAGGGCTCCTTTGAGGTTGGTGATTTGCATTCTCTCTCTCTCTCTCTCTCTCTCTCTCTCTCTCTCTCTCTCTCTCTCTCTCTCTCTTTTTACTGCCTTGCTGGGCTTCTGGGTCTCCTAACTAGTCTTAAGTTGTTTCTCTTGAATTCATCCCAGGGTTCTCTTGTCTGGTGCTCATTTCTTTTGAGTCCTTGTTTCCATGTCTGCTGTTGTCTGGAGGTTTTCTGAGTCTCATGGTGGAGCTACTGATTTTTTCCTCTGCTGCTGATTTATTTATTTATTTAATTAATTTTGCTTTTAGGGTCACACCTGGCAACGCACAGGGGTTACTCCTGGCTCTGCACTCAGGAATCACTCCTGGCGGTGCTCCGGGGACCCTATGGGATGCTGGGAATCAAACCCGGGTCGGCCCAGTGCAAGGCAAATGCCCTACCCGCTGTGCTATTGCTTCAGCCCCGATTTGCATTCTCTTACTGTTAGCATGAAAATGGATTTCCCTGCGCTGGTGGGCCTTGAGAACTGTAGGAAAGATTTGCAGGCAGAACTCAGAAGGATAAGGAGTTGACATTTATTGTACAGTTTGAGTAGAAGGTCCGTGTCCCTCCCCAAGTGTCCAGGCCTCCCCGTTCCCCGTGAATGCCATCTCTTGTGCTGTCCCTGGCGCAGCCCTGTCCTGTGTGTGACCTTCCCATCCCGTCCCACACGGTCTGCTCGCCTCCAGTGTGTGAAGGCAGGTCCCTCCCGCCCCCACCGTGCTCCCATCCCCTGCATGCTTTCCTAATCTGGAGCCGTGTCCCCGCGCCTTTCCTGGACTGTGTCCTAGGGGCTCCCTGACATCTTGTCCTGGCGTTCCTTGGTCTCCAGCCTGCTGCCACGTGCTTGTGGGCGAGATCTCATGCCTGTGTTTGAGCCTTTCTCAAACTGTATCCTGCACTTCCTGTCATCCTGTCCCGGCTTTCCTTGGTCCCCAGGCACTGTGTGAGACTCCTGTGCTCAGTATCTGTGCCTGCCAGAATGTGCCGAGCCTTTCCTGATCCTGAGGGACAGTTAGTCAGAAGTGTAAGAGCCTGGGGTCTCCTGAGCTGGTGGCTGAAGTCCTGAGTGAAAGCAGCAATTGTGCCATGACCTGGCCCGGGCATATGTGAAGAGAGAGAGACGGGAGAGAGAGGGAGGAAGAGAGAGCGAGAAAGAAAGACAGGCAGTGAGGGATGGATGGAGGGAGGAGGAGAGAAGCAGAGAGAAGGGATCCTCCCAAGAGGGGAGATGCAGGTTGAAAGTAGACTGGACTGAACATGTTTGCCACTCAGTGCCTCTTTTGCTGATCACAACACCCAAAAGGAGAGAGAGAACAAAGGGGAATGCCCTGCCACAGTGGCAGGGGGGGATGGGGGGGAGGGGGGGGGGAGGGATATTATCCTGGTGGTGGAAGATGGTCACTGGTGGAGGGATGGGTGTTTGAGCATGGTGTGACCGAGATCCAAGCACAAAAATTTGTAAATCTACAACTGTACCTCATGGTGTTTCACTAAATAAAAAAAAAAAAGAAAAAAGAAATAAGATCCTAGAAAAAAATAATAAAATCAAGGCTAGATATTTAAGTCATTCTCTAACACTGTAACAATTAAAAATATTAAGACAACATAGCCTGAGGGAAGCCAGGGAAGGGAAAAAAAAAAGAAGGGGGGTGGGATGGAGGGAGGCGAGAGAGAGAGAAGGAGGGAGGGAGGGAGGGGGAGAGAGACACACAGAGAAAGAGAGAGACAAAGAGACTTTTTCCTTAATCGGCTGCCGTCTCCCACCGCAACCATTGCCTGTTCTGATTGGCTGCCTCTTTGGTGGGTGAGATTTACAGTTCCTGGCTCAGTTCACCTGCTGCTGTACTCCTCTGCTTGTGCTGTACCATCATTCCAGCCCGTTGGCCCAGATGTTCTCTTGCCTTTGCGTGCTTCAGCCCAGCCTTGACTGACCCAGCCTCTCCCGGGGCCTCTCGCACCCACTCTGGCTGGAGCTGTGCCTTGCTGCCGCAGGTTTCTGCCCCTTGCGTGCTTCTGCCTCAGTTCATCTCCTTGGGTTCTCCGCCTGCCTGCCCTTGCAGATGGATGACTCACACTTTGGGAGGATGGGGTGTCCCTTGTCCGTGCCTCACTTTGGGCATGTCTGAACCGAGTCCCTCGCGCTGCGGGACGTGAAGTCTCTGGCCTGACAGAAAAGGAAAGGATGCAGCCAGGTGAGCTCTGCTTGGCCGTGCAGGGTCCTGTAGCGGGTATGAGGCCCGTGGGTGTCTGGGCTGACTTGTCTCAAACACAACCCTGGGCTTGATGACCAGCACCGGGTCTCTATAGCCCAGTCCTGTCAGCTCTGTCCTCCATCCTTCTGCAGTGCGGCCAGCTCCTGGTTCCCACAATCAGGCCTGGTCCTGCATCCCAGAGGCTTAGAGGAGGAAGGGGACAGGCCTGGAGAGCCACACAGCCGGGCCTCGGGGGAGCAGGAAGGTTATGGCGAGTCAGAGAGTTGTGGGCCTTGTCTCACGGGCTGTCTGTGCCCCTCAGCATCCCTGGCACAGCTGCTCCCCATCTTCTTAGTGGGGGAGGGGGAACCCTACTTCATTCAGGGCTTACTCCTGGCTCCTGGCTCTGCACTCAGGGGTGACTTCCGGCTGGGTTTGGGGGACCACATAGGGTGCGACTGGTTGAACCCAAGTTTAGCAAGGTGTAAGACAAGTGTGCTGCCTTGCTCTGCAGTCTCTCTGGTCCCTGCTTCTCAGCCCGCTTGCACTTACCACCTGCCAGTTTGGTGATCCAGTTCTTCCCGGACTCTCTTCTCTGTGTATCTTGGGTTATATCCCCCAAGGGGATCATTGATGGCATCTCCTTCCCCACTCTTGGCCAGGGGTCTTGGGTCAGGCTGTTCTATAGACTGCAGGTCTGGTGGTCACGTGCCACTGAGAGGAATGTGTCCCTCTGGAAGGAACTCTTAATTAATTAATTTATGTTTTGAGCGAAGAGGCTAGTGGTGCTCAGAGGCTCTTCCTGGTTCTGTGCTCAGGAGTGACCATTGGTCCTCAGGAGACCACAATATGGTACCCAGGGATTGAGCCAGGGTTGGCCACCTGCAAGGCTAGAGCTTTTAACCCCTTCAGGAACTGTCAGGAAGCCCTTCTCAGGGAGTGTGGGAGTGTGATGGATGACAGAACTGTGTCCGGAGCACTGTGCTGAAGCGCCTCTAGAACAGATATAAGAGGGAGCAGATGCTGTTGGCTGTCAGGTGGCCTAAAACTGCTGCCACTGTTGGCACTGTTACCGGGAATGTAGACCTGTGATTGTGGTCCCAGAACATCTGACCGTGCACGGGAGCACATGCTTCCTTTGACAATTGATAACCTTGTATGATCAGATCTATGCTTTCCAGTTTAGAACAACACATTAACCTGATTTAATTAATATTTAATTGGAGTCACACCTTTAACCTACTTTTTGGCTAAATGCACCCACAGATTGGAATAAGTCAAATAATATCTAGCTAAATGTTGACTCATGCATTGCTGTTTTGACATTGAACTTTATTTTTACTCAGATCGTTGTAGTCATTAAAATATGATCCTGGGGGCTGGAGCAATAGCACAGCAGGCAGAGCATTTGCACACGGCCGACCTGGGTTTGATTTCCCAGCATCCCATATGGTCTCCCAAGCACCGCCAGGAGTAATTCCTGAGTACATGAGCCAGGAGCAATCACTGTGCATCGCCAAGTGTGACTCCCCCCCCCAAAAAATGTAGCACTGTGGCATTGTCCTCCCGTTGTTCATTGATTTGCTCAAGCAGGCACCAGTAATGTCTCCATTGTGAGACTTGTTGTTACTGTTTTTGACATATTGAATATGCCACGGGAACTTACCAGGCCATGCCGTGTGGGTGGGATACTCTCGGTAGCTTGCCGGGCTCTCCAAGAGGGACAGAGGAATCAAACCCGGGTCAGCTGTGTGCAAGGCAAATGCCCTACTCACCATGCTATCGCTCCAGCCCATATTTATATTTATTTTTACAAAATAAAAAAAATATGATTCCCTCTAGTTGCAGTAAAAAGAATTTTTCTAATACTAATTTTGCAACCCATAGTTTTATATCTATGTACATATATGTGTGCATATGCATGAACACACACACAATCCCTACCATCTACTGCTATGCTGCCTGTTTATATTATTTTGTTTCTTTTCATTGGTATGAGCCTTTTTTTTAATTTTGAAGAGAAATAAATTCTCTCTCTCTTTTTTTTTTTTTATAGAAATTTCGAGATTTCTTTAATCAGAATGAGACCAGTGACTCCACTCGGGACACGTGTGTGATCCTTACTGTGGAAGGGCGGACGTTTCCAGTGGATATCTTCTACCTGCAGAGGTTTGATGAGTCTTACTTTTTAAAAACATTGAAAGGAAATGTTTCTACACCTGGCAGCGTGCAGGGGCTGTTCCTGGCTCTCTGCTCAAGTTGCTTGCAGCAGTGCTCAGGGTACTGCATAATGCTGGGATAAAAACTGGACAGCCAGCTCCAGAAGCCCATGCTCTGGCCCTTTGAGCTCTCTCTGGCATGACTGTTACAGGAGAAGAGCAGCGTGGCCGCTGCTCGCAACTCCAGGGGCGATGTGCTGAACTGGGGAGAAGATTTTGTACCTTTCGTCATTGAATGATGGTCAGCAACCCTGCTCAGCATCTCTGATGCATCCGTTTCCACTCTTGGCGCTGCTGTGTGCTTTTCTTTGAATCTGTTTTAGCTTAGTTAGAGAGAACGTGGCAGCCTGGAAGCTGCCCGGGACGGGGAGGGCTTGCTCATCCCGGCACCTGCGGTTTACAGGTGTGGCAGGAGAGGCCTTCGAATCATTTGCCTCTCAGCTCTCTGCGAAGGTCTTAGCAGGAAGACCTGGTTGATGTTTTCGTTGATGTTTTCAGGGACCCTTTTGGAGGAATCACTAGTTTCTATAGCTATCTCTAGACAAAACTTAGGAGCCTGGTTCCATGGATGACAAATCCAGAGAGCTTGGCCATGTGCTTCTGAGCTGTTGTAACTGGGGACACACCCACTGTCTCTCTGCCTGCTCCCACATGCTGCTTGTGTGTGTGTGTGTGTGTGTGTGTGTGTGTGAATGATCAGCAGGTGGGATCCAGCCTGTAACTGGGGACACACCCACTGGCTCTCTGCCGGCTTCCACATGCTGCCTGTGTGTGTGTGTGTGTGTGTGTGTGTGTGTGTGTATGTGTGTGTATGATCAGCAGGTGGGATTCAGCTTGCATCTGCTGCCCTGCCTTCAAGGGAAGGTGCTAGAGAGCTTGCCCATTTGTGGGGTTTATGGCTTTTGTTTAGCAAATGAACTAAAGCTTCTGGTTTACATGTTATTATGATATAATGTGTAATTATATAATGCGGTTTGTTTTTCTTTGTGAGCTACATTTTGAAAAATAAGAGAGTACTGATAATTTATCAGACAAACTAACTTTTGGGAGGTGTCTCTGCCAGACTTTATAGGATAATCGATCTGTAAATAATGAGTGTATTCTTACCTCTTACTCTCCCATCTTTTCAGTCCTGTTCCAGATTATATCAAATCAACGGTAGACACTGTGATGAAAATTCACCAGACAGAGGGAGATGGAGACATATTAGCATTTCTTACCGGCCAGGTAATTCAACTGTGATGAACAGACATGTTATGGCAGCACCAGAATTAATACAGAGAACTGCTATATTACTCGATCACTTATTTCCTGTTTTGTTCTATCATTTGTTGTGGTTACTCGATCACAGAGCAGTTGTTTGGTTTGGTGTCATGGCCCTACTGACCAGATTGTTTGGGAGTCTTTAACACAGCTGTACTATTTCAAGAGTGTGTGTGTGTGTGTGTGTGTGTGTGTGTGTGTGTGTGTGTGTGTGTTTTGAGTCATAGTGGTGCTTAGGGGTTACTCCTGGCTCTGCACTCAGGAATCACTCCTAGTGGTGCTCAAGGGACCATAATGGGATGCCAGGAATAGAACCCAGGTTGGCCCTGTGCAAGGCAAGTGCTTGACCCCGTGGTTTGTCTCTCCGGCCAGGGGTTAAGTATATTTTAAAGGTGTTTGCTGATACCCGAGCAATCTGCCTTCAGCTGGGGAGTATTTTTGTAGCAGAATTCGAGACTTCCCAGGGCATGATTTGCAGCACACAGGCCGCTGCTCCGTGCGCCTTTGCCGCTGATGCCTCCTGCTCACCATGGAGGTGGGAGTGGGCGCTGGGAGCTGAACGAACGCCAGCGAGCAGGACTTTTCACCAGCTGTCATCTTTTCCACTGTCGAATGTTTTCCAGAGTGTGGGGATATTCCTGGGGAGAGCTGATAGCGGCTCTCTGTGTCCCAGCTTGTCCGCTGTGTGTGAAACGCTTTGTTTGCCAAGCCCAGGAGTTAAATAGTCATTGCTTTTGTTTATGGGGAACTCTTCTGTGCACTGCAGATCATAGAGGTTTCAGTAATTAAGCTGACAGGTACAGATTTCCCCCCCACGGGCATCGTTATTCAGGCACTTGGTTAACCCCTTCCTGGAGTGCAGCACGCTCACACGACACTTCATGAATCTAAACAAAAATCAAAATCTTCTCCCTGGGTTTTTTTTTTTTTCCTTTCAGTCTGATAAAAATACGTGCTACGTGGTGACCTCGTTTGCTTTTTCCTTCCGGGTCCCCGTTTCTAGGAAGAGGTGGAAACCGTCGTGTCTCTGCTGATCGAGCAGGCTCGCGCCCTCGGCCGGACGGGGATGAAGAGGCACCTCCGGGTGCTCCCCATGTACGCGGGGCTGCCTTCCTTCGAGCAGATGAAAGTGTTCGAGAGGGTGTCACGCAGTGTCAGAAAGGTGAGGCCGGGGCCCACAGCCCTGGGTGTTTGCAGCCTTCTAGAATTGTGTTGGGCCTCTTGGCTGTGCACTGGAATGGTAGCAGTGGAACTTGGTGATCTGGTGGAATCTTCTAGAATTTTGGCCTGTTTTCCTTAGCAGTAGGTCTAAAGGCACACAGTTATTGGATTGTGCAGACTTCCAAACCCGCCCCACAGAGCAGTTGCTTGGGCACTGCCGAGGGCACTGACCTCCCCTTTTCTGCCTCCCTAACAGTCCCATCTCTCCTGGACTTAGAGAAATGTCTTGGGGGGTCGTGATCCACCCGGAACAATAAGTTGCTGCAAATGGTTTTTAAACATTTGTTTTAAATGTCAGTTTGCCTTTAGAGCCAGGTTTAACTCAGTTAATTTGAGGTGTGGCCAAAAAAGTACTGGGCCTTGAAATAGGGGTGGGGAAGGGTGTGGTGAGGAGCATCGGTTTCAAAGAGCCAGCAGGCAGCGCCTGCTCCCGGCTCATCCCCTGGACCTTTCCCTGCTTTCCCTTCTTTCTCCTGAGGAGTGTCCAGCACTGGCCGAGGTTGACTGGAGCGGCTCTGGATCAACGGGTAGCAGAGGGGACACGGGAAGGAGTTAACATCTGTGGCCTGCTGCCTTCCTCCCCCTAAACATCGCGTTTCTTTCCTGTGGCTCCTAATATCCAGACTGAGGTGGGGGAGTGCTCAGCTTCCGGCCTTGGCAGTGCAGCATCGGGCCTACCTAGGGAGAGGTCCGGCCTTGGCAGTGCAGCATCGGGCCTACCCAGGGAGAGGAGAGCCTCTGCCAGCTGGCAGCTGGTTCGTCTGTCCCCGGGTTGCTCTGTACCCAGGAAGGATGCATTCAACCTTGAGGCCTGCTTCGATCAACTGTGAAGTAGGAATAATTGTAACAGTTGGTGATTTTGTAGCATAAAGTCTTACTATAAAAAAAACAAAAAAAACCCCACATCAGCAGGTAGGGTGTTTGCCTTGCACGTCGCCTGACCCGGGTTCGATTCCCAGCATCTCATATGGTCCCCCGAGCACAGCCAGGAGTAATTCCTGAGTGCATGAACAAGGAGTAACCCCTGTGCATCGCTGGGTGTGATCCAAAAAGAAAAAAAAAAAAACACCAACAAACAAAAAAACAAACCCTGCTGGGATGAGTTGTATGAAATGGTAGATGGAAGATGCTGGATAAAGTTCTGTGTGCCATCCTTGCATACCCTCTGCTGCTTCAGGTCTACCAGGGGCAGTACCGGGTGTACTTGGAATAAAAGGCCAACACTGCCTCGTGGCCTAGAAGACTGGCACCTTCTTCCTTCCCTAGCAAATCTCTACCTGGGACTCTGGCTCCACTGGCTCTTCCTTCGCCTTTGAACTGTCTTTTCTGCATGGGTCTCTAGCATTGGCTGCAGCTAGAAGTTAGGGCTCGGCTCAAAGTCATTCAGAGTCATTCAGAGACTTTTCCTGGGCATCTAAAGTAGCAACCCCCTCCAAGCCCCTCATTATAGTACTATTAGCTATAGTATAGTATACACGTAACCACTTCATCAGATTATTATATTATTGCCCTCCTGCCTTCTCTTCCTGGTATTTGTTAATCTCTGAAATTATCTACTTATTTATGTTCGCTATTCACCCATTCACTCTGGAATGGATTTGGAGAGAGCAAGAGTCTGTCTGGCTCATTGTACCTTGAACCGTGCCTCGGAAACGGCAAATAATCAGAAACTAGTTAGGATGTGAGTGAAGAGAGGAATGTACATGTATAACGTGGTGATGCCTTTTAGTTGTCCAAAAGGCAAACATCAGTATTTGTTGAATGCTTATTGTGGGCCATCTATTAGGCTTTCATCGCTGTGAATTATTAGAAAATTAGAAAGTGAAATATCTCTATTTCCTATGAGCATTTCCTCTATGGCGCCGCTGGAAGGGGAAGCTTATTATCATGTAAGTGAGGAGACATGGTCTGGAGGCCAAGTGACACCTATAGCTGAATGTTTATTTTATTTTTTTGTTTTTAGTTTTTGTCTTTTGGCTTATTCCTGGCTGTGCTTAGGCCTTTCCTGACTCTGTGCTTAGGGAGCACTCCTGGCAGGGTCAGGGCACCCCAGGCAGCATCTGGGGTGCTGGGGATCAAATCCCGGTCAGATGTATGCAAGGCAGGTGCCTTACCTGCTGTCTATCTCCCAGCCCCCGCGGAGGTGGAATTTATTTATTGTTTTTGGTGTTTGGGGTCACACCGGTGATGCTCAGAGGTTACTCCTGGCTCTGCACTCAGGAATCACTCCTGGCAGTACTCGGGTTTATATGGGATGCCAGAATGTGAACCCAGGTTGGCCATGTGCAGGGCAAACATCTGCCTGCTGTTCTGTCGCTCTGCCCTCCTCCCCTTTTTTCTCTATTATTTCTTTTCCCTTTGTTTGGGTTTTTGCTTTTTGGGTGACACTCAGCAGTGCTCAGGGGGTTACTCCTGGCTTTGCACTTGGGAATTACTCCTGATGGTGCTCGGGGGACCATATGGGGTAGCAGGGGTTGAACCCTGGGTTAGCCGCATGTAAGACAAATGCCCTACCCGCTGTACTATCGCTCTGGCCTGGGAGTTGGAATTTCAGCTCAGGACACCCGGATGCTAAAGTTCCTGCTCTTTCTGCTATTTCAAACTGTGTAATGGCTGAATTGTTTTACTTTCAATGATTCTTCAGTGTCAGAAATACCTTTGCAGCTTTTAGGAGTTTTGAATAGTTTATCAGAAGTGAAAAGGCAAGTGACTTGTATTCTCACTCTCTTCTGTGGGGAAATGTAGGTGGTCGTGGCCACCAACGTGGCAGAAACCTCCATCACCATCAGTGGGATTGTGTATGTGATTGACTGCGGCTTCATGAAACTCCGCGCCTATAACCCCCGGACAGCTATTGAGTGCCTGGTGGTCGTGCCCGTGTCCCAGGCGTCAGCCAACCAGCGCGCGGGCCGCGGGGGCCGCAACCGCTCAGGGAAGTGTTATCGTCTTTATACAGGTCAGTGTGGCTCTCTTTCAATGATCTTTACTTCCGGCAGTCAGCATGAGCATTGGAAACTATTGCCAGACTGTGTCCTCCTGGGCGGAACTTGACAGAGAGGACATGCAGGCTTCCTCTCCAGGGCCCTCTGTGGCCTGCGCCTCCTGCTCTCCTCACACTAAACACTGCATCCCTTTGCTGCAGTTCCTCGGAGGTGGTTCACGGCACCAGCGGGCACGAGTCACCTGACAGCCTCGGGCCTGGATCTCATGATCTCTAGCCTGGTACCCCTGTGCCTGGGGCACTGCATCTCAAGTCCTATCTCTTAGCATAAGGTTAAGGGACCTTTTACACCTGCCCGCCCTCACCGTGGACTCTGTCCTCACTTCTGATTCAGAGCATCTCTGGGGAGCCGAAATGGAAAGTTCCGTCCCAAGACTCACTGATAGGAAGGAAGTTGTTGGTCAGCTGATGCTCTGTGCCATGTATTAATGCATGTAGCACTGTAGCACTGTCCTCCCGTTGTTCATTGATTTGCTCGAGTGGGCACCAGTCTTCATTGTGAGACTTGTTGTTACTGTTTTTGGCATATCAAATACACCACGGGAGCTTGCCAGGCTCCGCCGTGGGGGCGGGATACTCTCGGTAGCTTGCCAGGCTCTCTGAGAGGGACGAAGGAATCAAACCTGGGTTGTCACGTGCGAAGCAAACGCCCTACCCACTATGCTATCGTTCCAGCCCATTAATGCATGTAATCAAATAAAAATAAAATGGGATGAACAGTGAATGGTTGCCTGGAAGGATGCTGAAATACAGAAGAGAGAAATTTTCACTATACTTAAGAAACCATGGTAGTAAAATCTTCATAACAGTAACCCCCTTTTTTTTTTATTTAAGAATTTTTTTTTGCTGTTTAGGTCACTCACACCTGGCAATGTTCAGGGATTACTCCTGGCTCTGCACTCAGGAATTACTCCTGGCATTGCTTGGGGATCATATGGTATGCCGGAGATTGAACCCAGGTCAGCCATGTACAAGGCAAACACCCTAACCACTCTACTATCACTCTGGCCCCAACATTAACGTTTTAAAATTAAATAGTTTTGTGTCTGATTTTTTTTTTTAAGTTCTCAAGGTGTAACCATCACCTCTGTCTAGTTTTACCAACTTTCCTTCATTCCAAAATAAATCACCCGCCCACTCAGCCGCTTCTTTCCTCCCTTCCTGCTCCCGGCTCCTGGCAACCCCAGTCGCTGTTCCGTGTCTGTGGCTTTCTCTGGTTCGGGTCTTTCATACAAATGGGCTCCTGTAGCATGGGACCATTTGTGGCTGCCTTTTCTTGTTATTCTGAAGCTCCTCTTTGCTACATCATTCCCTCTCATGACTGCCTCAGACTCCCCCATGGAGACAGACCTGTTTGTTTCTCTGCTCGCCAGTGGGTGGGTATTTCTGCCTCTGGCTGTTGTGCATAGTGTTCCTGTGAGCATGTCAGTAACTGGACTTGTGCGAGTGGCTGGTTTTAATTCTTGAGAACTTCTTTGGAGGTGCTAGCCAGGGAACGCAGCCGCTTGTATTTCCCTGGATGGGAAAATGGCCCATCTCTAGTCGGGGAAGGCCGTAGTCTTTGACTGAGAGTGCAGCTTTGGGAGGGATGTACACAGAGTGGTGAGGGGAGGAAGAGAATGCCTGCCTGGCCAGCCAGATAGGCCACATCAACCCCTGCTGATCAGTGGGGTGACATGTCACAGCCAAATCAACCGATCAACTCTGGTGATCAGTGGGATGACATGTCACAGCTAGATCAGTCACATCAACTCCGGTGATCAGTGGGGTGACAGAAGTCACAGCCAGATTGCCCTCATACCCGGTTTTTAATTTTTTTGTGGGTGCATGTTGGGGAATGGAATTGGGGGATCATATGTTGACTTTTGAGGAACTCGTTTTATTTTTGGGGCCACACCTGGTGATGCTGGGGTGGGGTTGCACTCCTGGTTCAGGGTTCAGGGGTTGCTGTTGGCATTGCCCAGGAGTCCAGACTGTTTCCAGGTTTGGAATCCAGGACTTTTGCCTGTGGAGTGTTGCTCCAGCCCTTTGCGCTGTCTCCTCTGTTCCGTAAGTTGCTTTTAACGAGAAACTGGCATCAAGTTCTCTCCCTGAGCATCCCCGGAGCAGAAGGCAGCCTAAGGGAGAGCGGGTGCGCCCGATTCAGAGGCCTCTCACTCTGTCAGCGAGGGTAGTTTTAAGGAGCTGACGAGTCATCCTGGGGTGCACCAGCTTCCAGGCGTTCTCTGTTTTCACAGTGCTCCCCGTGTCTCCCAGAATCTCCAAGGCCTTTCTCAGTTTGCCCACGCAGGTCACTCCCCATCCCTGCTCCGCGTCAGCTGGGTTACGCTCCTCCCAGACATACCTTCTGTTTTCCTACAGATCCTCTCACCCCTTTGGTCTTTCCCTGGCCGTTTCCTCATTATCCAGCAGACCCTCCTTTCCCTGTCAGTGCTCCCTAAGGCGGCTCCCCCGCAGACCCCCACCGTGCCTTCTTGCCATGGCTGTGCTTCTTTGTACCTTGAGCTGCTTTTCCCCACCAGGACCTAGCCCCGTTCCTCCTGGGGGCTCGCGTGTCCTGGCCTTGATCTCAGGCCCTTTCTTGTCACTGAAGTGTCTCAGAGCCGGCAGGTCGGCCCAGTGCACTTGGTGTCCGTTAGTCCCAGGGACACCGGTTGTCTGCTTTTCAACACCAACCTCCTTGAGGTTTTCCAGTCATAGTGTTTTTCCTTCATGACCTCTTTCGGTTCAGCTTTGCTTGTCTCATTACCTCCAGCTCTGTGCTCCACTGGGGGCCCAGCCACCCTGGCCTGCGGAGGGCGTGCTTGGGCGGATGCTGATTGATGTGGGAGGGTTTTGAGGGTGGAACATTTTTCTCCGTAATCCATAAGCTCTCGGAATAGGCACAAAAGTGATTTAATCTTTTCCTCCCTCGTTTCTTCCCCCACCCTTCTCGAATTTGGCTTTTATGAAAAGGCCTCCCAAAGTCTTTCCCTCCCTGCCCATCTTGGCCTCTCCCTTCTTGGCACCTTTCCGCTTTTTCCTGTTGGAGGGCACCTTGTTTCCAGTGAGGCGTGGAAGCTTGGGGCAACGTTGGATGCTGGCTGTGAAGTGTGTGTGTGTGTGTGTGTGTGTGTGTGTGTGTGTGTGTCTGGTTCCTTGATTTTGAAAGTTAAATGAAGACAATTTTTGCCCTCCATAAGATTTAGCTATTTGCTAGATTTTTGTTATTATTTTGGTGATTTACTTTGAAGTACATTCCTTGCTTATCTCTATAGTTCTTTCCTGATTATTGAGCAGAAGAAATGGTAATAGCGTACCAGTTAGCAAATACTTGTTGTTTTGCTCAAAGAATGCATTCTAATGTAAATGGATACACTTTTATAGCTATATTACTTGGAAAGATATACATTTCCTAAGTATTTTTTTCAAATAAAATGGCATTTTCTGTAGTTTTTGGGAGGTGGGTGAGTGTGGATATGTGGTTTGGGCCCACACCTGGCAATGCTCAGGGGTTACTCCTGATTTCAGTGCTCAGGAATTACTCCTGATGGTACTCAGGGGTCCATATGGGATGCTGGGGATTGAAACCCACCACACTATTGCTTTGGCCCCCAAAGGGTATTTCTGAAATATGAAATGCTTTTGCGTCATAACATATCCATCTGATCCTAGACTCCTCGGGCCTCTTGTTAGAGGTGAGAAAATGTCCCTTTGGCATGATGACTATAGTGGCTTGTGACATTTGATCTTAGACTTTTCTTATTTCCTCTCCTCAGAGGAAGCCTTTGAGCAGCTGCCCCAGTGCACGGTTCCGGAGATGCAGCGGAGCAACTTGGCCCCTGTCATCCTGCAGCTGAAGGCGCTGGGCATCGACAACGTCCTCAGGTTCCACTTCATGTCAGTAAGTCCTCCCTGCCCTCCGGGGCCACGGGGCGCTGGGGCACACCGGGGGGCTCAGGACCTTGTGTCGGGGCCTGCCACCTCCCTGGTTGCCCCGCACAGCTCACGTGTTGAGTGCCTGCTCTGTGCCAGGCCCCGTGTGGGGTCGGAACAGCCGATGCGGCAGCCACAGCTCCCATCCTGCCGTTAGAGATGGGGGTGGGGGTTGGCAGGGATTGTAGTTATGTGCCTGGGTACCCGAAGGGCAGGGTTGTGTGCGTAGTGCAACCGGAAGCCCTGTTTCACCAGCGGGTTGGGACGGGTCTGTTGGGGGGGTGCAGGCCCCAGCATCGTGATGGAGTGGGCAGGGGGAGTTTTTAGAACTTCAGGGAAGGTCCCTGAGGCTGGTGGCATTTCTGGTGATTTTTGAAGGTCAGTTTCCAGGAGGGGAATTATGGGACCTGAGGGCCACAATAGTTTGGTAGTTAGTTCTTTGTTCTAGATACTTGTTCACATTGCTTGTCAGGGCGCATTTGAGCAGGGAACAAATGCTTGCTCTTGTGTCTCCGTCCTGCCCTTGTTTTTTTTTTTTTTTGGTTTTTTTTTTCCCCTTGAGTTCTCTTCATTTCCTTGCGGGGTGTGGGGGATGGGAGCTATTGTCTGTCTTTTAAAAATTTCTGTGATTAAGAAAATGATTATGAACATTTTATATTTCTTCTGAATTTTGGGGGTTTGTTTTTTGTTTTGGGGCCACACCGGCAGTGCTCTGGACCTACTCTTGGCTCTGCCCAGGGATCGTATAGTCAGTTCTTGTCCTGTGCGATCATTTCCAACTATTATCGTCATACTGATCTCTTCTCTATCTTACCTACCCTCCACCCCAGACTCTTGTGGTAGATTCCAACCATTGACCAGTCCTCCTAGCCCTTGTTTATCCTGGCTTTTTGTTTGTTTGTTTTTCTATTTGGATCACACCCAGTGATGCTCAGGGGTTACTCCTGGCTCTGCACTTAGGAATTACTCCTGGCGGTGCTGTGGGGACCACCCGGTTGCCAGAGATTGAACCCAGGTCAGCAGTGTGCAAGGCAAACGCCCTACCTACTGTTCTATTGCTCCGGCCCCTTCCTTCACCTTTTAAGAGCCCTTTAATTGTTGAATATAATAACTTTCGCCTGTAGTACTTTTTGCAGGTATCATTTTGTATTTATTTGTAGTTGCCCATGAGGTTTAAAAGCACAGTAAGCATTTCTGCAGTAAAGCCTGTCTTTGCTGTTATGATTTCCTCTCTTGTTCTGTGATTGACAAGCACTTCCTCATATCTGGGCCATGTAATAGTAACTCATTTTCTTCTTGAACTTGTAGAATTTGTCAGTTGCATTTTTGCTCCCAGTTGTCTTCATATATAGTATGACAAGTCTGAATTCTTGGGATAATAATGTCCTTAATACCATACGTTTCATGATTAGGAGAAGTAAGGCATAGAAGATCCCTTTTCCAAAGGAAACAGTTGTGTGTTTACTGTAAATATGGAGGAACCCTTTGATTATTGGAGTGTAGAACAAGAAATTAGAAAATTTAGGAAAGAGGAACAGTATATACAAATTAAAAGTCAGAAAGAAAAACATGACAACTGACAGCTCAGTATCACAAAAGCTACAGAGTTTTCAAACATTTAGAACAAATGAAATAGCCACTAAAGAAAAAGTTGCAGAACCACAACATCCAAAAGGAGAGAGAGAACAAAAGGGAATGCCCTGCCACAGAGGCAGGGTGGGATGGGGGGGGGGGGGGATGGGGGATGGGAGGGATACTGGGATCCGTGGTGGTGGGAAATGGGCACTGGTGAAGGGATGGGTATTTGATCATTGTATAATTGAAACCCAAGCACAAAAATTTGTAAGTCTACAACTGTACCTCATGGTGTTTCACTAATAAAAATTAAAAAATAAATAAAATCACGATCACAATCATCCTGTTGTTCACCGATTGCCTTGAGCAGGCACCAGTAATGTCTCCGTCGTCCTACCCTGAGATTCTAAAAAGTGCCACATTCAAGGCTCTTTCAGGGTTAGGAGAATGAGATCCATCATAAAATAAATACAATTAAATTTAAAAAAAAAGGAAAAAGTTGCAGAAAAGAGGATAAAAAGAAATAGTAAACTAATATTAGAATTTGTTTAACTTTTCTAAAGGAAAGAGAAATGCAGATTGAATTAGATGTAATGTAATTTCATGTCATTTTTATGATCATAAACTTTCAGACAACCGAAAAATGAGGAAAGTTACATACAAATTTATCTTCACATATTCCCTTCCGGTTATTTCCCCCTAAAATTGTGTTTTTCCCCCGGTTCACATCACAAGGTTCACCTGACTTTATTCCCTTAGCAGTATTAAAGTACCTCATAGCTGCTGAACACAGCTTAGTTGCCCAGTAGTAAGAAAATTGCTTACTTCATGGGTTATTTATGGTCCTGTTTAGATATAAAACAGCCATTCCCGGTAATAAATGTAAATTTTTCTGTGAGTACAAGAAACAGTGGAAGCAGAAAACCAAGCAGTGAAGCCAACAAATGGAAATCATTCGCGAGCAGTCCTGCTGGCGATCTTAGAACGGTGTGTCATCCCAAGTCGGGTGGGGTCAAGGAGAAGCACTAGGAAATGTGTGTTTGGTTTTAAAAAGAAAATACAGTGAATTTGGGCGGGGGAAAGTACAAGAAAAAATAATTTTGATTAATAGTGAGAAAAATTCAAAGCCTTGGTGATTGAGAGTAAGAGAGCCCCCGTGATGTCCAGCCAGAGAGAGGACAGGGCTCAGGCACCGTTAACTAGCACGGAGGATGGAAGGGTGGGGCAGGCCAGAGGGAAGGAAGTAGTCACATTTTTATGTCTGTGACCAGAATTATTGAGGAGGATTTTTGGTTTTTTTTTTACAGCCCCCTCCAGCACAGTCGATGGTTCAAGCATTGGAGTTACTCTACGCTCTAGGAGGTATGCCTTTCTCTTATTTTGTGATCTCTACTAATCTCCCAATAAGTGATTATAGTGAGTCAGGTATTTACTGTAGGATTCTTCATATCTTCAAGAAGGGGATGGATATTAATTTCATATGTTATTTCATATTCCACAGATGAGTGCAGTCATTCTATGTCTGTCCCTTTCTTTCTGATTCATTTCACTTAGTATATTGACACTCTCCATGTCCATCCACTTATAAGCAAATTTCATGATTTTTCTAACAGTTGCGTAGTATTTCATTGAATAGATGTACCAAAGTTTCTTTAACCAGTCGTCTTATTTCGGCCACTCGAGTTGTTTGCAGATTCTAGCTTTTGTGAACAATGCTGTTCTTTATTGAGAAGGAATAAATAAACAGGAAGATTGTTCCACAGTTTGGAAGCCTGCTTCATGTGCTGGGGGTGAAGGAAGTTGGAATGGAGAAGGGGCCACTAAGTCAATTATGGTTGAAGGGATCAGTCGGGATGGGGCATGTGTGCTGAAAGTAGACTAAGGACCAAACATTATGCCGTCTCTGTATTGCAAACCACGATGCCCCAAAGTAGAGAGAGAATAAGAAGGAAGGTGCCTGCCGCAGAGGCAGGGGTGGGAAGGGGTGGGGGTAAGGGTGGGAGGAGGGAAACTGAGGACACTGGTGGTGGAAAATGCACACTGGTGAAGGGATGGGTGTTCGATCGTTGTACGATTGAAACTCAGTCATGAAAGTTTTGTAACTATCTCACGGTGATTCAATTAAAAATATATATGTGTATATATATATATATATAAATACAAAAATAAGTTGTTCTCAGCTATTACAGTCAAAGCACTTTACATGTTACTAGTAAAAGTATTAGTGATAAAGAAATAGATGTACACACTGCAGATGACTTCCAGTACTGGAGCAAGCCACACTGAAGTCAGAATAATTTCAAGTTACAAAGTAACAATAATAAATATATACTGTGCTCAACTAGTTGATCCAGCTTTAATGGGGGAGAATGCGTCTGTCACTTGCCAACAGAGCCATCCCATTTATTAAACTATTAGGAAAAAATAAAGGGATAGATTCTTCCCATATATATAATCATCTTAATCCTTTAGCTTTTTCAGAATAAAGAAGGTAGCGTCCATAATGAGACTAAGAGCACATCAAGCCCAGTTGTGACAGTGAATTTATAGAATATGTCAGTACATCTAAAATTAGTAATAGCTGTCATCAGAGCTGTTTTTACGAGATCTCCTGAAGATTCCCTGGGCCTGGGTTCAAGATTCCCTGGGATCTCAGATGTTACCTCTCTCAAACTTTCACTTGTTCTCGGAGTCTCATGACCTCTCCTAAACTTCCGCTCGGTCTCTTCTCCCACCCTTGAAGTCTACAGCTCAGTCAGTGTCTCTCGCTAAGTCCCTTAATTCATTCCTGCATTCCCTGTGGATTACAGTGGTGGTGGTGTTTGGGCAACACCATGTTACACAAGAGCCTACACCAAGTCTGAATTCACCCCTTCCAGAAATCGATTGTCTTTCTCTTGAATGTTCCCTCAGTGAGTAGAATACCATTTGGTATTGTTTAGTAAAGTTGTAGGGGTTTTGTTTTTTTTTTCTTTTTGGGTCATACCCAGCGATACACAGGGATTACTCCTGGCTCATGCACTCAGGAATTGCTCCTGGCGGTGCTCGGGGGAAGCATATGGGATGCTGGGAATCAAACCCTGGTTGGCTGGGTGCAAGGCACCCACCTGCTGTGCTATCACTCCAGCCCCTTTTTGTTCAGTATATTAATGGGGTTGCACAGTCATCTGTAGAAGTTTAGATCATTCAGGACATTTCGATCATCCTGCTCGCAAGCACTCACCCCTTTTTCTTCTTGTATTGGAGTTATATTTTATGATCCCTTTTCACTTCGCTTTTTTTCTTTTAATTTTAATTTTTTTTAATTATTATTTTTTTTGTTTGGGGGCCACACTTGGCAGTGCTCGGGGATTACTCCTGACTTTGCACTCAAGAATCACTCCTGGCAGGCTCAGGGGACCATATGGGATGTCAGGGATGAGCTGAGGTCGGCCACATGTAAGGCCAGCACCCTGTCCGCTATACTATCTCTATGGTCCCTATTTTCTTTTCTTTAAAAAAATTATTTTTAAAATTTTTAGAATCTGTGTTTTTATTCTTAGGAACGTTTATTGAGACACTGTGATTTACAAGGTTGTTCATAAGAGTTGTTTCAGGCATACTATATATATGTAATATTTTGCTTCTTGGGTCACACCTGGCGGTACACAGGGGTCACTCCTGGCTCTGCACTCAGGAATTACTCCTGGTGGAGCTCAGGGGACCATATGGGATGCTGGGAATCAAACCTGAGTCAGCCACGTGCAAGGCAAACGCCCTACCTGCTGTGCTACTGCTCCAGCCCCACAGGCATACAGCATTTTAATACCAATCCCACCAGTCCCATAAGTGTCCTCTTCTCTCCACAAATATACCCAGGTTCCCTCCCACACCCCAGGATGTCCCCTTGGCAATCATATAATAAATTTATTTCATATTACTTGATCCAATAAAACGTAAAAGAATGGCAAATAGAATTACCAGAAAATAAATTAATGAAAGTCAGTTAGTAATGATTAATCGCTATCTTTTTAGCCTTTCTTAATCTGGAAGAGGACAACCATATGTACCCCCCAAAGTAGATTTTTCTACTTTATTTTTTTTTGGCGGGGGTGGGGGTGGTGGGCACACTTGACTTACTCCTAGCTCTGCACTCAGGGCTCACTCCTGTGGGGTTGGGCGACCATATGGGATGTCAGGGATTGAACCTGGGTGAATTGCATGTCAGGCAAGTGCCTTACCCATTGTACTATTTTCTCTCCAGCCCGTTAACTTTTTTTTTTTTAAATTTACTGCTGTGCTGGGGCTTGAACCCAGAGCTTCACACATGCCAGGCAAGTGCTCTGCTGCTGCCCGCATCCCTCAGCCTCTTTCCTGTGTCAGGCAGTCTGGTTTCTCTGGACAGGATGATTCATTTGTGAATGCCTCGTCTTCTTTTTCAAAAGCATGCATCATCTAACGTTCTTTCAGCACCCGTGCATCTTCCAGCACGATGGTGCTTGCTTCTGATTCTCATTGTTCTCGTGGCAGGTTTGGACAAAGACTGCCGTCTAACCGAACCACTCGGCATGCGAATCGCAGAGTTTCCTCTGAATCCCATGTTTGCAAAGATGCTGCTTGAATCAGGTGGGTGGGGATCTCAGTTCCCACAGATTTTATTTTCTCCGTGGAGTTATTTCCCCAAATCCTGTGCCGCCTGGGTCAAGACGGTCTGATACAGAGTCGCGAAGGAGCTTTTCATGAAACACTGGTTCGGGGTGTGTTGCTAACTTTGATTCAGAGTTTGTCATCACTCGTTCACGCAACTGTTTGGTTTGGTTTCCATGAGTCCAGTACTGACTTCTGATTGATTTTTTTCCCACAGGGAATGTGTTTTTTTTTTTTTGGGGGGGGGGGAGAGGTGGATATGATTTTACATACATATTACTAATGTGACCATTCTTAAGTATACAGTTCTGTGACACTAAGTGTGCATTCACATCACTGTTCAACCACTACTGCCACCCTCCCCCCTCCCCGCCGCCTTTTCTTCAAGCCGACGCTCTGTCCCCATACGGCACAGATTCCCTCATCTCTCCCCGTGTCCCTCCAGCCACCTGTCTGCTTTTTGTCTCTGACTTTGGCTCTTCTTGGGGGCCTCCAGGAAGATCCACGTAATCGATTTCCTTCTGCGACTGCTTAACTTCACCAGGTGTGGGTCATCCACACTGTAGCCTGGTCAGGCCTTCCTCCCAGCAGCCCAGGGCTCCAGCCGCCTGTCCTTTGGCTCTTGTGAACAGTGTGACTGAACTGTTGGTGTACAAGTGTCCGCTCAGGTCCTTGCTCTCGCTTCTGTTGGATATACACACAGGGCAGAATTGTAGGATCATTTTTTAAAATATTTATTTATTTATTTTGCATTTTGGGTCACACCCAGCGATGCTCAGGAGTTACTCCTGGTTCTGCTCTCAGGAATTACTCCTGGAGGTGTTGGGAGACCGTCTGGGATGCTGGGAATCAAAGCCAGGTCAGCCATGTGCAAGGCAAACATCCTATCTGCTGTACTATCACACCAGCCCATAGGATCATTTTAAGGTGAACTTTTGGAGGGGTTCTCCTTACCGGTTTTCCATAGTGATTGTTCAGTTCTGTAGTGTCACCACCAATACACAAGGGTTTCAGCTTCTCTGATACTTTGAGGGGTTTTTTGTTTTGTTTTTTGGTCAGGAGAGAGAAGGGAATTGGAGCCGTCCCTGGTGGTGCTCAGGGGTCACTCTCAGTGGTGCTCAGGGGACCATATGCAGTGCTGGGGATTGAACTGGGATATGTTAGACAAGTGCCTTAATCCCTGAACTGTCTCTCTCACCTCCACTTTCTCCATGGATTTTTGTGAGGATTGGGACTAAGAGAAAAGTATACTTGGAAGGTAAAATCATCTAGAAAATGGTGTGTGTGGGTCCCATCCTTGTAAAGGAAGTGTTGTATTTCTTTTATTATTATTATTATTATTTTGTTTTTTGGGTCACACCCAGCAATGCTCAGGGGTTACTCCTAGCTCTGCACTCAGGAATTACTAGCGTGGTGCTTGGGGGACCATATGGGACGCCGGGGATCAAACCCAGGTTGGCTGCGTGCAAGGCAAATCCCTACCAGCAGTATTATCGCTCTGGCCCCCATTATCATTATTTTTAATGCTTTTATCTAAATTTTATATGAACTGGCAGTCTACAAAGTAATATTTTACAAAATATGATGAAAATTAGCTGCCATTGTAGTTTGGAACGCCTGTGAAAACCGTTGCCTGTCATTGAGGAACAGGACACAGGGTGGGGCTTGCGGGCAGCTTCAGGAGCTTACTGGTCAGCGGCTCCATTTGTGTTCTCTGTCCACTGCCCCCAGAGTGGAGGGAGATGCCGGTCCCAGACCCAGAGTGCTGCTCCAGGCTGGGCTTGCAAGGCTGCGGCTTCGCCAGGTGAGCACCCACATACAGGTCAGAGCAGGTGTGAAGCCGATAGTGTGTCCAGCGTAGAACAGAGCACTGGAGTCTGCCCTGGTCTCCCCTGGTCTGGACCACGCAGCCGACATCCCTCTCCGCAGGGTGAAGTGGACCCAGAGCATCACCCTCACTGAGACGCTGACTCACGGGCCACGTCTTTGCAGCTCACAGGCGCTTTTTGTTTCCTAGGAACTTTCGGCTGCTCACAGGAAATCTTGAGCATCGCTGCCATGATGCAGATCCAGAATGTCTTTGTGATCCCCTCCAACCAGAAGACTCAGGCAGTAAGTCCCGCATCCTGGAGGTCTTTGGCTTTCCTTGTTCAGGCCCCTGGGAATGGCCGATGACAGAACTGAGCCAGCAGATGCCCACATGCTCAGTGTGTCATCTCAGCTCTTTCTGTTAGAGGGGGAGGAGGGAGAGGCACCAGAGGGCTCCGTAGCTCCTTCCAGGTTGCACAGCAGGAGTTGGGCAAGTGGTGCAGAGCCGCCATCTCAGCCCTCACCCGGCCCAGTCTCCAGTGCCGGAGATCATCCTTCAGGTGCTCTGGGCACATTGGTGACATATGGGACTGGCTTGCAGGCCCAGGGCCCTGCTGGAGTTAGTAGAGTCGGTGCCGAGACCCGAAGGTGGCCCAGCATCAGGAACAGCTGAGAGCAAATGCTGGGAAGACCGAGGGGATGGTACAGCATTGGGGAGCACCGCACAGGGGAAGGCAAGGCTTTGGAGAGCATCACATGGGAAGACGTGGCATTGGGGAGCACTCCCCGGGGAAGGCAGGGCATTGGGGAGCACCACCCAGGGGAAGATGTGGTATTGGGGAGCATCATACAGTGAAGGCATGGCATTGGGGAGCACCATCTGGAAGCTGCAGCACTGGGGAGCATCACATGGGGAGGGGTGGCATTGGGGAGCACCTCACAGGAAGGTGCGGCATTGGGGAGCACCACATGGGAAGGTGGGACATTGGGGAGCATCACACAGGGAAGTGTGTGGCTTGGCACAGGGCAGCTGAACCTCTGTATGTTCCGGTGGGCAAGTCAGAAGCGGCAGTGGCTGTGGAGCGACAGGATGCTGCTGGCCTGCCCAGTGCCCTGTGCCCTGAGCTGAGGTGGTCCCTCCACCCTTGTTTGCTGGCTCGTCTGCTTATCTGCCAGCTTCTGCCAAGTCTCCCTTCGGACAGACCAGGCTCATTTCCAGGAGTTGAGCGTTCGCACTCTCGTGCCTGCCCCTGCTGTCCTCTTCCCTTGCAACTAGGTGCCGCTCATTTCTGTGCATGCAGTTGTTTGGTTGTGTGTGTTGCTTTTCTCCCCCCTCCCCCCGCCCCACTGTCAGATCCCACATTTGCAGGGTGGGCCCTGGCCTGTAGTAGGTTCTCGGCCAGTATCGGAAAGGCAGGAAAGGGAGAGGGGCCCTGGGAGGGAGGAAGACCGGGATAGTTAAGCGACATTTAATGCAATGACGGAAGTCTGAAGCTAGCAAGTTGGTTTGCAGACCTGTCAGTGTGTTGTGTGTGCTGCTCCCTGAGTTCCTGGGAACAGATGGCCCTGCACAGGTTCTTACAGAAATGGAGCTGGGGGGAGTCTGAACAGATAGGGTTCTCCTGGTGCTTCCTCCCAGGGCGGGCAGACGGGAGTGCTCGGGTAGGAGGCTGGTGAGAGGAGAGAGACCAGAATGCTGGCATTTCTCTAATGCCACTGGATTATCCTGCTCCCTCAGCAGTCTGGCTAGCGAGGTGAGGAAATTGAGGTGGACGAGGCTACTCTGCCGAGGTCTGGCAGGAGTTGGAGCTGGCACGGGCGCTGGCCGGTCCTGACTCCCGAGGTGGTGCTGCTCCCTGCGCCGGCACCTTTCTTCCCGTCTAAGGGTCCTGTCCCCTCCCCAGATGCGCGTGCACCGACGGTTCGCGGTGGAGGAGGGGGATCATCTCACCATGCTCAACGTGTACGAAGCCTTCATCAAAGTAAGCACAGCCCACCCGCACTGCCCATGCAAGGGGGTATTGGCAGGGGAGTTTCCGGAGGTCACTTCCTGGCGGGATGGCCGGGAGGCCTGCGCCTTCTCCTGTTAGATTGTGACCTTCCTGCTGGCCCACCGGGAGGATCCTGGCACCACCCTGGGTTGGTGTCCTGCTGCCCCTGACCTGTGGCTGGGGGCTCCCCGGATGGAGGACTCCCCCTTTCCAGCCCACTCTCTCTGCTCTCCTGGCCTCCTGTGCTTGTTGGCCTCTGGGTGGGAGTTCTGTTCTGTCTCCTGTCCTGCGGAGGGTGAGTCTGGGCGGGGGCTGCCGAGGTGAGCGGGAGAGCTCAGGGCTCACGGCCACTGCTGCCCTGGCCACTGCACTCACCGCTCGTCCTTGGCCTTAGGAAATACTCACTTTTGTGGTTCTCAAAGGTCTACCAGTTGAGGGCAATAGCACAGCAGAAAGTTGTCACTGATAACGGCTGAAAGAGTGTGAGGGATGGTGGAAACAATGACGGGTCTTGACGTCTTGCTTCACTTCCTGAATACTTTTGCAGAAGAAGAGAAATACCCATCTCTGATCAGAGATCTGGGGGAGATGTTTTCGAAAAAAACCTGACCTGTTGTTGAGATGACTAATTATGGGTTAAGTAAATGAAAATTCATTTTACAAACAGTGTACCCTAATCTGGACTTTGCTCTGCCAGTAGAATGTGGGCTTGGATCTGTATGACACTATTCAGTTCTTTTTTATGCAAAATCCAAAATCTCCTGTGTTTTACATTTTCTTATCTAACATGCTTTGCTCCCTACCCTTAGAATATGATTTCAGAGGTTATCCTTATAGTAATAACTGAATCCAAGGCATAATGATCATGTTCAGTCTCAGGGTTCAATCCCTGACACCATGGGGGGTTCAGGGGTGGGGGAAGGGAACGCAGGGGAGTGGGGGGAATGAAACATTATTGCTAGAAAATAAATCATGTGTTGGGAATAAAAAAAAAAAAAGAAAACAATCAAGGGGCCAAAAAGATAGGACGCTTATATATAGGGCATTTTTCTTACACATGGCCAACACGGGTTTGACCCCAGGCATCCCATAGGGTCCCCCTATGGGAGTGATCCCTAAGTGCAGAGCCAGGAGTAGCCCCTGAGCATCACCGCATGTGGCCACCACATCACCCCGCATCTCCCCACCAAGAACAGTGATCAGCTCACGCGAGCTCTCGGGAAAAGGGCCAAGGTTGGCTGATGTAGAAGCCCGGGAAGTATTTCTTTTTGACATCACCTCTTGTGGTTGCTCGGGTCTAGGAAGGGCTCTGGGGGCCGGGGCGATAGCACAGCGAGTAGGGCGTTTGCCTTGCATACGGCCAACCTGGATTTGATCCCTGGCATCCCATATGGTCCCCCAAGCACCTCCAGGAATAATTCCTGAGTGCAGAGCCAGGAGTGACCCCTGAGCATCGCTGGGTGTGACCCAAAAGGCAAAAATAAATAAATATATAAATAAATAGAAAGGGCTCCATCACGGGTGACGCTGTTTGTGCAGGGTATGAGTGGGGCGCAGCGGGGGCTGGCGAGGGGTGCTGCTGGGGGGTGCACAGGGCCCCAGGAGGAGGGCAGTGGAGGGGAGCAGCTGCCTCAGCCTCCCCCTGCCTGGGTCTCCCGTAGCACAACAAGAGCTCGCAGTGGTGCCAGGAGCATTTCTTGAATTACAAGGGTCTTGTGAGAGCTGCAACCGTGCGGGAACAACTGAAGAAGCTTCTCATCAAGTTCCAAGTGCCCAGGAACTCCAGCGAAGGTGAGTCTTCGCTTGGCTCTGCCAGTTGCCCCCTCGGCGTCACCTGCCCGGGTGAAAGCTGCCTGGGGAAGGAGCCGTGTTGCCCGCTCCCCCCCTCCCCTCTGCGCGTGTGTGCGCGCGCGCCCACACACACACACACACACACACACACACACATGGACATCGCTTTTCTTTCCAAGGGCTGTTCTTCCTTTATCAAAATACCTTAAAAATAGCGGACAGCCCCTGGCAACACTTAGGCACGGTTGACATCTGCCTTGCACCTGGTGTCACACATTGCCCATGTAGGATTTGGCAGAGACAGTCGCTTCAGGTGGTTGCTGTTCATGTATGAATCACACGTAGTTTTGGAGCCAGCTGTTGGCGAAGCAGGGCTGTGTTAGCTCTCCGTGGCCAGCCTGACAGGCGGAAGGGATGAGTCTGCATCAGTCCTGGGCTCTTGCCGGCAGCGCTGATGTCCAGGGCCTGAAAACATACGGGGACTCGTGCCTGCGCTTCTCGCGCTGCCTCTCACCCGGCTCCTGCTCGGGAGGCATTGGGGGACCAGCCTTTGCAGCTGTAGGGTCCACGGGCTCACATCCTCCAGGGCAGGTGACGCCAGTCCTGGATTCCGCTGTTGTCCTTTGAGTCCTGTCCTGTGCCCAGTGCCGCTGCGCCTTGGCTCGACTCCGAGTATCTGGCAGGCCAGCCCGTGCCCCAAGTGTCACCACGTGTGGCTTCGCTTCATGCTCCAGGTTGACGCGGCTGTTCTGTCCGTTTCATACACAAGATGGCAGCTCAGAGGCACAGGGTAACTTGCTGCAAGTCACCCAATGCCAGTGTGGTACGGTCAGAGCTGGGACTCGGGCAGCTTCATGCCAGGGTCTTAGTTTGCCTTCTCACGCACAACAAGCGATCAGAGGCAGATGAAGACGGAGTCTCACTCCTGGTGCGCGGGTGATGGGAGTGGCTTTAGTTTTAGACTAATCAGAGGGTGATGTTCTCTTGGAGGTTAAAGGAGTAGACTTCTTGACCGTGGGGCCCAAGCACAATGCCGATGTGGAGGGAGGGACTGCGGGAGGCTGAGAGGCGGCGGGTCTGGCCCCGAGGTGCCCAGCAGGCCGCAAAGGGTGGCCAAGTCCAGTGGACATGGCAGACGGGGCGAGTGAGCTGGGAGGGCTGGAGACAAGTGCTCGGAATGGAGCTCCTGTGAGAGCTCAGGGCTGCGTATGTTCATGGTAGCTCAAACCCACGCCGTCACTGACGGAAACAGGAAACTTCCCAGGGATGCTGATGGGACAGCGGTGACCTTGCAGCCATAATGCTTTTCCTTCTGCATCTGTCCTGCTTCTCCCCGGTTTTCACATCTCCTCACGCAGAAGAAAAGTGTGGATCCCTCCGATGAGAGAAGTGTAGCACTAAGAAATAAGATTCTGCCAGGCAGGGCTGGATTTTGGAGCATCACAGCTGTTGCAGTAGCTTGCGCTTCTCCTCCCCACACACCAGTTTTCACCCCTGCGGAAGGGAAAGTGTGTCCATCAGATACACGTTCTGTTCCGCATGGAGATTCCCAGCGGGCACTTGGAGAGAAGGGGTTGGACCTGGCATCTGATTGTGGTTAGGAGCGCAGGTTTGTGATTCATCTATTTGTGCCCGGGAATAGGAGGGAGAAAACCATGGAGGTGCAATGAAATACAGACAGATTTAAAGCTAGGTGATTAAAAAAAAATAGCAAATAGTGAAAATATTTTTAGCAGCATGAGAGAACAACTTAAAAAGCTGTACTACGGAATGAGTTCAAGTAATGCTTTAAGAAAATGCACTAGTTTCCAAGTAGATACACGGGCAAAAGAGTAGGCTAGAAAATTCGCCCAAAAAGAAATTAGGTGGTAATCAAACAAATGTGCAATAAGAGATGAGATTCCTTTTGGCCAACACATTGCTGCTAAGAAAGCAGTGGTGGGGCTAGAGAGAGCGTGCAGGGATTTAAGCGCTGTCCTGTTTGTGCCTGGCCAACCGCGGTTCCACATAGGGTCCCCCAAACACCACTGGGAGTGATCCCCGGGCACAGATCACTACCGCCCCCAAACAACAACAACCAAAACCCAAGAATGCAACATAACTGACATTCTCACATATATAGTTGGCGGCCTTAACTTTTATACTCTTTTGGCCCTTATTCACATATTCTATGTCTTTGGGTCTTCATAATGTAGTCATTTGAAAGACACCATTGTTTCATGCACCACCAACAAAGAGAAAAGATTGCTAGTTTTAATTGTAAAGTTTCTTTATTTTGTTTAATTTTGGTTTGTGGGGGGCCACACCTGGCAATGCTCAGGGCTTATTCCTGGCTCTGTACTCAGGGATCATCCTGGCGGCCCTCGGGGGAACCAGAGGGAAGCTGTGGATTGGACCCGGGTCAGCTGCCTGTAAGGCAAGTGCCTGACCCCACTATACTCCCGCTCCGGCCCCTTCAGTGAGTTTTCAGTATTTTTAAAAAGTGAGTCTTGAATTAATGAAATAATTTCGTGCATTAATTTCAACACTCTATGGTAGAAATCTGTATCTGGGAGGCTGTTGATTCTGGAAAATGTTTATGATAGCATTCGAAGCACCAATCAGAATGGAATGGTTGCAGATGTCAAAGCCTCACGCGCTGCAGCTTCTTACCACAGAAATCATTTTGGGGTGCTGCGTCCCCGCTTAACGTCTTCAAGAGGCACCGGAATTCCCACAGGATGCTCTCCTGACATCCCTGCCCAGACTGGCACAGATCTTAGGGTCCAGGCAGTACCCAGCATCTGTCTGGTCATCTGGGTCTTAGCAAGGACGAAGGAGTCCCAGGGTAGTAGTGGAATAGCCCAGAGTGTTTCCATCAGAGGCAGAGGAGGAGCTACTGGGGCCTGGGGGTGAGGGGGTGACCACCATTGGATGGTGCCAGTGAGCAGGGGCCCAGGGCATGAGGGCTCACAGCTGCCTGGGTCCTGTGTGTATTGACACAGCCCAGGTCAAGAGGAGACTGGTCCTCTTTCTGCTTATGGCCCCGTGCAGGTGACCCGGATCCTGTCCTGAGGTGCATCGTGGCGGGATTCTTTGCCAACGCGGCGAGGTTTCATTCTACAGGAGCTTACAGGTAACTTGATGCTGTCAGAAATCTTAATGGGTCTGGGGGCTGGAGCAGTAGCACAGCAGGTAGGGCATTTGCCTTGCACGCAGCCAACCCGGGTTTGATTCCCAGCTTCCCATATGGTCCCCTGAATACCGCCAGGGGTAATTCCTGAGTGCAGAGCCAGGAGTAACCCCTGTGCATCACCAGGTGTAACTCGCCCCTCCCCCCCAAAGAAAAGAAAGAAATGGGCCTGAACTCTAGAGAAAGTTGATGTGCTGGGATTGCCAGGAAATGAAATGAAACTGTTACTCTTCATGCTTTCTTCTGAAAATTGCTTGAGGTGGTTAGTCTATGGATGTAAGCAAGATACTTTCATGGACACGTGCCTCAATTATATAGCACATCCACGTGCTACAGAATGGGGTGACGGACTGGAACGATAGCACAGCGGGTAGGGTGTTTGCCTTGCATGCGGCTGACCTGGGTTCAATTCCCGGCATCCCTTATGGTCCCCTGAGCACGCAGGAGTAATTCCTGAGTGCAGAGCCAGGAGTAACCCCTGTGCTTTGCTGTGTGTGACCCAAAAAGCCAAAAAAAAAAGGGGTGACAGTGGCAGGCCTGGAGACCGAGGGCATTCGAGCTTCTAGGATCAGAAGGTGATGGTACAAGGGAAGTGACTCGCACCCCTGCGTGAGTCTTTGAGCCCCCCGATCTGCAGGACCAGAGTCATACCGCTCACGGATACCTGGGGGCCACGTGTGGTCTCTTTGGATCTTGTCGTCTTTCCCTCAGGTTCTGACTCGCCCCTTGGCCCACAGTGGCCACTGGTTTCCTTGGGCTGTTTCCTAGGCATAGAAACCACGGCCAGCCCAGCGAAACCCTCTGCCACTAACCCTTGTAATAAAGGAAAAGAAAAGCCAAACATGGCTGGGCCTTCCTCTCTCCTCATGGAAGCCTTCCAGTTCTTTGGATAGCTACGTGAGCCTTCGTTCTGTCTCAGCTCACTCCGGCCTTGCGGTTTCCCTGGGATCTTTGAAGTAGAGAGATCGTACGTGTCCGCCCTTGGCGAGGGAGCAGCCAGGGACTTTCTTCCCAGCTCTTTGGATTTCCTGTGTCTGCGATCTCTTGTCTCGCATTCTCCCTCCTCAGAAGCGTTCCTGGCCTGTCCCTGATGGTCCTTGTCCTAGTCTGATCATGGCCTCATTAACAAGTCCAGAATTGTGCGGAGCTTTTAAACTTTTCGGCCCTCGGGTCGAGGGGTCTCCTACCCAGTACCGCTGCGGCTGACTGATCCTAAGAAGCATTTACAGCTACCCCTAGTGTGTCCTAGTGTGGCTCCCGCCGGGCTCCGTCACCTGTCACAGCATGATTCTGTGGCTCCCCCATGGCGCTCCCCCCTTCCCGCAGATTGCTGCCCATGTCTGAGGCAGCCCCGGAGGCCTGTGGTCTCCCCTAGTGAGCGCCCCGTGGTGTTTCTGTGTAGTGACCCCTGATCTCCTCGAGAACCTTCCTGAGGGAGTCTGGCCGTCAAACATCATCTCATCGGTGTCCTCACCATTGCAGCCAGTGCCCATGTGTCCACATGCATGTTAGGAGGGCCTAGATTGCCTCTCTGCCAGGGCCCAGGTGTCCACCAAACATGCCCACAAAACACTCATCTGGACGGCGCCTCCCCGTGGTCGGATAGCCCCGGGGTGGGTGTGGGGGGCTGCAGGCCTCGGGGCAGGTGATCGAGCTGATGCCCCAGCTGAGTGGAGGTCGGAAATGCTCTCTTAGAGAAATAGGGGGGTCGTCCGAGAGCGAGCCCCCCTCCCCCGCCACCCTGCTTCCCCCCGCCCCGTGCTCACCATTCCCGCCCCGAGAGCCTTTCTCTTGACTGTTCCTCTTGGTCTGAGGCAGTAACGCGTGTCATTTCTGTACCTCGGGAAACATCTCAGGGGGACCGTGCCTGCGGGAGAGCCATGTTGTGCGGCCACAGGGGTCGATCTTGGTCTCCAAGGGGGCTGGGGGGGGCATGTGGTCCCCATGCACGGGGGTCAGTGACGTCGTCCCTCTGTTCCCCAAGGACCATCCGTGACGACCACGAGCTCCACATCCACCCGGCCTCCGTCCTCTACGCCGAGAAGCCCCCTCGCTGGTAAGCCCCCTCGTTCCCGTCCTCACCTGTGTGACACCGAGTCACTCAGCACCCTCAGTCACGTTAGCCCCCTGCCCCTCAGTTCTCTGCTCACCCTCGCCTTGGCCGCCATGCAGCAAACGCTCGGCTGCCCCCCCAGCTGCCTGTTGCCGGCCGGGCTGACACATAGAGCACTGAGCGCCTTGGGGGACAAGGGCTTTGACGGAAGGGGCTGACCTTGTGGGGGGTGGCCTTGCTCCAGACGGGGACCCCCAAGTGTGGGAGGGAGGACTCTGACAAGACTCCGGCACTGCTTACCAAGGTGGGGTGCGGCTGAGTTGAGGGGACACACAGACGCCTTTTTGGTTTTGTTTCTTTTTTGTTCCATTCCTGGCAGTAACCAGGAACTACTCTTAGCTCAGTGCTCGCGGGGTGGGGGTGGGGGGGTTTCTCCTGCAGCTCTGGGAGGACTGGGAAGTGCCAGGATCAGGATTACTCTCCTCCGTGCCGTGTGCCTGCTGCAGCCTTTTGAGTTTTTTCTCCGGCTCCCTGCGTGGCATTTTGGTAGATTACATGTATGTCTATTCAGTTTGATAATTTAGAAAAGATAGGGCGTGTATTTTGTCTTTTCAAAAAGTCCCCCTCTCCCTGATCATTGGTGACGGTGAGTGTTTTTTCATGAGCCCGTTAGCCCTCGGCGGAGTCCCTGGGGAGAGACTCCTGCACCGACAGGAGCGTAGCTCAGGCTTCTTTCCCCTGCAGGGTCATCTACAACGAAGTCATACAGACCTCCAAGTACTACATGAGGGACGTGACCGCCATCGAGTCGGCGTGGCTGTTGGAGCTGGCGCCACACTTCTACCAGCAGGGAACGGTAGGAGCGAACGCGGTCTGGCCCCTAAGTGGTCTGTTTCCTGCTCCTCCATGTTCCCTGCAGTACACGTGTATCCTCCAATTGAACACCCTAGCTTTGCCCCCGTCCAGTGTGCATCGGGGGGCAGACCATCGCGCACCCCCACCCCCCCGTGTGAGGGCGCTGTGTTGTTCATTGGCAGTTGGCGTTTTCACCACGTGCCACCCATGGACTGACGTGGTGCTCTGCCCGCAGTACGTGTTCCTGGTGAGCACAGAGCACTGAGGACTGAGTCCCCCTGACACAGAGCCAACACAGAGTGCGTGGTTGGCCCTCCAACCCCCCTGCTCTTGCAGACTGGCCCCCCAGCACTTCTGCTCTGTGGCCGGCGCAGGAGGAAGGCACCTACGCGCTCCCCTCATGCAGCCCGGCAGGTGCTGGCGCCCTAATACCCGCTTTCCTGCAAAGCAGCTCTCCTTGCAGGCCTGCGGGAGGGGCCCGGGGAGTGAGCAGAGGCAGTTTCCTCTTGTTCATGTTTATGAAAACTGCCCTGCTTATTGCAAAACAAACAAAAACAGAAACATTCACAAGAACCCAAACTCTGCCCTGCACGTCCCAGCTGTCTCTGCAGCCCTGGGTGCTGTGCGCTCTCTTCCTCCCTCTCTTCCTCCCTTTCTCTCCCTCTCTCTCCCTGTTTCTCTCTCTTCCTCCTTCTCTCTCCCTTCTCTCTCCCTCTCTCCTCTCTCCTGTCTCTCTCCCTCTCTGTGTCTCTTTCTCCCCCTCTCTCTCTCCTTCTCTCTCTCCTTCTCTCTCTCCCCCTCTCTCCTCTCTCTCTCTTTGTCTCTCTCTGTGTCTTTATGTCTCTATCTCTCTGTCTGTCTGTCTGTCTCTCTCTCTCCCCCTCTCTTCCCGCTCTCTGCCTCTCCCTCTCTTTCCGACTCTTCTGTCCGGGCACGGCAGTGGTCTCTTCAGCTCTTCTCCATGCTCAGGCCTGGAGTCCTGGCACCCAGCTCGCCTGGACTGCATCTCTCTCTGCTGGCCCTGGGCTTGGGATCAGTGGCCTCCAGGGTTTTGTGCCACTCACTTGCCCTGAGCGAAGCCCATCCCCTGCACCTTCATCCTGCAGCCGGGGCTCTGCAGGCCCAGAGCTGGGCTGGCAGTGTTGGCCCCGTGGTTCACGGTGACCCTGGACTTGGGCTTCCTCGTCCTCCTGGCTGCCAGGTTCCGTCTGCCCGCACGCCATGCCCGCCACCGTCCACCTGGGACCGTGGGCGTGTGTGTCCCACTGGCAGCATCCTAGAGCGCCTTCTTCCCCTTCCCCACTCAGCCCAGTCAGGGTGAACTGAGTGCAGGGGGGGTCACGCTCAGAAACCAAGAGAACCTTCTGGAAGAGGCACGTGAGAAGGGGAGAGGTTGGCGTGGTTGTCGGGCGCCGTTGAGGGCAGGGACTGACATGGGGTCCTGGACGCTTCGGACTCAGAACAGCGCCGAAACTGTCATTTCCCTTCCTCAGCCCCAAGCGACAGTTTCTTCGGCCAGGCTCCGAGGTGCAGGAGCCAAGAACAGGGTCCGAGGGCTCGGCTGGCACGCTCAGCTTCACTCTGCCCCCCCCCCCCCGCCGGGGAGGCGAGGGTCCTGTGCTCCTCCCCAGGGCTGCCGTCAGCTTGCCCGAAGAGTGGGAGGGTCCCGGGGCCTTGGGCCCCTCCTGCCTCCGTTCCGGTCCCTGTGGAACTTTCCATGGCCGCACTCCCTCTCCGGCTCAGCTGTGTTGATACTCAGCATTCTTCCCTGAGAGGACACCAAAAATGGTCCCTCTGGCACCGTGACATCATCTCCCTCTTCCCAGCCAGGACTGGGGGTGGCGGGCCTCGGTTGCCGGGGTCATGCGAGGGCACACGCAGGGACAGTGCAGGCCTGACCCCAAAGAGCCTGGGGTCACACGAGGAGATGGGCAGGTATGGACAGTGCAGGCCTGACCCTGAGGAGCCCAGGTCACGTGAGGGGACGAGCAGGGACTTGTTGCCTGTGGACGCTCCCCGAGCCCATCCCCTGAGCCCTTCTGGCCTTGGTGCTGTCCTGTGGGCTGAGTCCTTAGGGGCCAGTACCAAGTGTCGGTTGCTTGACCTTCCCCCCCCAGACCCCTCCCTGCAGGCCTGTCAGTCACTTGACCTTTGACCTCCCCCCACCCCTCCCTGTAAGCGTGTCTGTCACTTGACCTTTTTCCCCCAGACCCCTCCCTGCAGGCTCGCTTCGGAAGGGGTTTGGGGTGGGGCCCGATGTCAGCTCTCGCCAGTGGAGGAACTGTGTGGAAACCTGCCGATCTGCTCACCCCGTCACCATGTTCTCTCTTCTCTCGCAGCACCTGTCCCTGAAAGCGAAAAGGGCCAAACTCCAGGACCAGTGAGCAAAGCCTGACCAACGGCTGTGGGGGCCACCCGACCACCCATCTGCTTCCCAGGACTCCTTCCCACCCTTCGCTCCCGCCCACCGCGCTGGGGTCCTGGAAGGCGCGTGCATGTCCGGCCAGGCGGGGCGGGGGCCGTCCGCTGCTCAGCCGCTCGCCCATCCCCCCATGCCTCTCTGCGGCCCGGCTCTGTGGGCAGCGACGAGAGACCCATCGCGGACACTGTGCCAGGCTGGGGGCAGGGCTGGCCCAACTGGCGGGGCTGGCCGAGTGACCCCAAGGGTCGGTGGCAGGTGGGAACACGCATGTGCCCACCGCGACCCAGACCCCGGAACCCCCCAGCCTTTCCCCGCTGCCCACATCACTGTTTCGTGGGCCTTGGTGACCCCCGCCGGGGCCCTGTTCTTCATTAGCAATAAGGAGTTTTCTATCCCACAAGTGGCTTCCTCTCCACAGCGGGACCAAGCTCCGACGCTACCAGCTGAGCGCCGGGGTGGCCCCCAGCTCCTACCGCAGCCCCCCCTGGGGGGGTGGCCCGCGCAGCGCAGAGGCCCAGCGCTTCTGCAGCCGGCGAACATGACTCGTGACCCCTTTTCTGTGTGTGTGTCTGCTGGGGTACTGGTGGCCCCCGGGGCGCCCCTTCCAGCGGGCTCTGGGCTCAGGGCTGCCCCTCAGCCGCCACCCCCACCCCCACCCCTGCATCTTTGCTGAGATGATGTTTGCATTCCAACCCTGACTGGTGCAGGCTCCCCCACCCCCCTCCCCGGTTCCAAGTGATGTTTATTTTAAAACCACATAGCTTGAACATTTATTTTTCTACTGATTTGTTTGGACACGCCACTTTTGGCGCCAAACGGGCCCGTCATTTTTAATTTATGTTTTATAAAACTTGTAAATAATAGTGGCAACTTGTTGATAATAGAAAGCCTTTGTACCAGAAGTAAATACGCTCCCTCCCACCCTTGGTCTCACCTTCATGTTTGCAGGGGGTCTGGGGAGGGCCTGACCTCGGGAGCCCGATCCTGTGGCCGACGGCAGCTTTCAGGGCCACCTGGACTCCGGAAACCTCGCACAGCAAGTCCAAGGATGGCAGCAGGACCTTGGTAGCACCAAATGCCACCAAGGGTGGTGCCTGCCCTTACTGGGGTCTTTCTGCAGAGGGCAGACATGCCTATTTCTTCAAGTAGCCTCTCTTCCTTCCTTCCTTCCTTCCTTCCTTCCTTCCTTCCTTCCTTCCTTTCCCTCTCTCCCTCCCTCCTTTCTTTCTTTCTTTCTTTCTTTCTTTCTTTCTTTCTTTCTTTCTTTACTTCTTTCCTTCTGACCTTGTTAGCACCAAATGCCACCAAGGGTGGTGCCTGCCCTTACTGGGGTCTTTCTGCAGAGAGAAGACATGCTTATTTCTTCAAGTAGCCTCTCTCTTTCTCTCTTTCTTTCTCTCTCTCTCTTTTTTTTTTTTTTTTTTTTTTTTTTGCGTTTTGGGTCACACCCGGCGATGCACAGGGGTTACTCCTGGCTCTGAACTCGGGAGTCACTCCTGGTGGTGCTCAGGGACCATATGGGATGCTGGGAATTGAACCCGGGTCAGCTGTGTGCAAGGCAAACACCCTACCCGCTGTGCTATCACTCCAGTCCCTCCCTCCCTCCCTCCCTCCCTCCCTCCCTCCCTCCCTCCCTTCCTTTCCTTCCTTCCTTCCTTCCTTCTTTCTTTCCTTTGTTCTTCTTCCTTCCCTTCCTTTTCCTTCCCCTCCCTCCCTCCCTCCCTCCCTCCCTCCTTCCTTCCTTCCTTCCCTTCCTGCCTTCCTTCTCTTTCTTTCCTTCCTTTCCCTCCCTTTCTTCCTTTTTTCTTTTCCTTTCCTTTCTTTTCTTTTCTTTTCTTTTCTTTCTTTTCCCTTTTTTTCCCTTTTCCCAGGAATGGGACCTAGACTGCAGGTACACAAGGCAAGCGCTCTACCCCCGAGCCATAGTCCTAACGCAGAACTACTTAGATTTAAAGCCTATGATTGGGTCCAAAGCTGATCCTACTAAGCTGCTGTTGGGGTGGAGGGAGGAAAAGGTAGCGGAGTCTGCACTGTAGGGACTGAGCGGGAGTTCCCACGGGGCCTCCAACCCCGGGGAGGGGACACGCCCCACCGAGGGTGCCTGGGAAAGCCAGCCCCCAGCCCCTGAGCTCTGCCCTGGGCACACTGTGGCCCAGCGTGAACAGAGAGTGTCTGTGGTCAGATCTGCAGCTGGGAGTCCCGATGGGGCTGGGAGCAGGCTCGTGACCCAAGGTCACCTGGCCCAGCCTGGCCACGCACTGACACCTCTGTCCAGAGGAGTTCTGCTGTGAGTCTCCCTGGCTCCCTATGGGCTTCTCACTGCATGGCCTGTGCCTACACCCCCTGGTGTCCTGGGTGCCATCCTGTCCCCAGCACGTCAGCCCTGTCTTCTCTCTGCTGCCCATGGCAGGGCCCCGTGCTTAGCTTCTGGTGAACCATCTTCTGGGCCCGCAGCTGGGATATGGGTCCTGGGACCTCGTGCGGGAGTGACCGGGTCCCATGCTCGGTAGAGCCACCCCTGAGCCCAGGAGTCATTATGTTTTTGGCTTTTGTGTGTGTGTGTGTGTGTGTGTGTGTGTGTGTGTATGTGTTGGGGGATGCTGGGCCTTGTGTGTATGTGCCAAGCAGCTGCTCCTCAGCGGGGCTCCATCCCCACTGTGTCAGCCCCAGCCTGGTGGCCTGGGGACCGGGGTCATGGAGATAGAATGAAGCGCCGAGGCCTGAGCCAGGAGGGAGGTCAGGAGGCCCCCTGGCATGAGGGGCAAGCGCTGAGCTGGTTCCTGCACAGGTTGTGCCCTGCCACGGGCCCGCACCACCCACATCCCCACGCTCCGGCCAGCAGGCTCCGACAGGCTGTGCCCCCTACCCCCTTATCACCTGTCCTGACTCCCCTCTATGAAGGGGAACGTGGACTACAGCATGAGCTGCGAGCTTCAGCCTGTTTGACCAAGAAGACCAAGCGCCTCACACCAGCCTCCAGGGAAAGAGAGCCGGATGGGAGGGTGTCAGGTGCCCACCACACCCCACCTTCAGGACCTTTGCTTTTGCTTATTCAAGGCATCTGACCAGCTTGTCTGTGTCCCTGTGGAGGCCACGGGGCTGGCTGCTCCCCAGGGTCTGTCTGGGTCACGGTCATCCAGATTCCCAGATTGGATGCGGCCCCTGCGAGTCCCTCGTGCCAGGCAGCACCCCGAGGGGGTTATGTCCACCATCCACAGGGACCACTGTCCGCCTTTCTGCTGCGGGCACACGGCTTCTGGAGCGTTCACCAAAGATAAAGAGCACAGGACAGGGGCTGGAGCAATAGCACAGCTGGTAGGGTGTTTGCCTTGCATGTGGCCGACCGGGGTTCGATTCCCAGCATCCCTTATGGTCCTCCAAGCACCGCCAGGAGCGATTCCTGAGTGCATGAGCCAGGAGTAACCCCTGGGCATTGCTGGGTGTGACCCAAAAAGCAAAAAAAAAAAAAAAAAAAAAATCAAAGGACAAGGGGTGGACCCTCAGGTGCCTCCATGACCTTTGCCCTTGGGGCACAGGTGTCCAAGGTTCAAGGATGGAAGCCCACCTTTAACCTGTGTGGTCAACGTGGTGTCTGGTCTCTCCCCAAGAGGCTGGGACTCGGTCTGTGAGGCGACGCGCACTTGGGGAGGGGCCTCCGGGGCGCCTTTTGTGTCTGCGTGCTGCCTCTGGAGAGTGGTTCCCCATGGACTGGGCTCGGCCACTTGGGGACAGAGCGAAGGGGGTCCCGGAAGCCCAGGGGCTCGGGGGGTCGGGCAACTTTCCAGTTCCAGATTCAGCCGCTCAGCTCTCGGGACTGTGCCGGGCCCGGAGGAACCCAGGTGGAGGCAAAGCTACGTCTGAGTTTTGCCCACACATGGGGCCTCTGTCAAGGCCAGACCTGGTCCTGGGCCTCCCACCTCTCCTGTGGGGGCCCCAGAGGGGCTTTTCACCCCTCTGAAGGGCGGGAGTAACGCTCACAGCACCTGGGGACATGTCAGTGGCCTTGTGGCTGGCTGTCACCTGCGGGAGGACCTGGCACTGCAGCCCTGTCCTTAGAGGCAGGCAACCCTTTCTCTGGGAATCTTGACTTATAAGTGAGCTAATTTTGGGTCTGAGAGAGTAAAGGGCGTCAGATATTTGCCTTGTATCGACCAGTTTGCATCTCTGGCACAAAATACGATCCCCCAAGCACTGCGGGGAACCACTCCCGAGCACAGAGTAGGGAGAGCCACTGAGCACCCGGGGTCATGAGTGTGGCCCTAATGTTGTCCCATCTCCACCTCATGCACTCATTAAAAAACGCTGATTTACAAAGTTGTTCACTGTACAATTGTTTCAAGCATTGAGTGTGCCATCACCACAACCGTGACCTTCCCTCCACCAATATTCCCAGTTTCCTTCCCATCTCCAAACTGCCTTCCTTAGGTGCATAACGAATTTACTTTTTATTGCCTATTCCAAACAAATTTTTAAGAAATATCATGCACTTGGGGCCGGAGTGATAGAACAGCGGATAGGGCCTTTGCCTTGCATGTGGCCGACCTGGTTTTGATGCCTGGCTTCCCATGTGGTCCCCCAAGCACGCCAGTAGTAATTCCTGAGTGCAGAGCCAGGAGTAACCCCTGAGCATTGCTGGTTTGCGCTCTCTCTCTCTCTCTCTCTCTCTCTCTCTCTCTCTCTGTCTCTGTCTCTCGCATCCCGCCCCCCATGACCGCCCCAACCAAGTCTCAGACATCTGAGTCCCAGCTTCCCCCTGTCCATAGTTGGGACAACCAAGTCCCAGCTTCCCCCCATCCATAGTTGCCCCCTAGACCTCCACCTCTCCCAACCTCAGGAATCAGAATGCAATTCTCTGTCGCCGTGGATGAGCTTTGTCTTTTTTAGAATTTTCTATATATGGGTTATGGGTTATTTATAGAAAATTAATACACTCGTCCCCATCCGGATAAGACCTGGGTTTCAGGCTGTCTTTCAGCCTGCTGAGATAAAGCTTCCGGCTTCCCCTCCGTTGCCTTGTCTGTAAACCGAGGGTAAGAGCTTGTGCCCAGACACCAGTATGGGAGCTGGGCCTGCTATGGCCTTAAGGTGCTGGCCAGGGCCGCTCAGTGACCCCGCCTCTTCTGCACAGCTCATTGGGCCTGCAGCTCCCTGCATGCCCCTTAAGTGAGACACAGAAGCACCACAGGAAAGGATTTGATGCAGTTGCATGGGCCCCCAGCTGTCCAGAGTAGCCAGCCCCTGAGAAGAGGAGTCGGCCAACCAGGCCAAGATAGGCCATCTTGGGCCTGGACATCTGGGGACAGGTGTGTGAGGCTGCGGGCCAGCCTGTGGGGTGGTGCCAGCGGGGGCAGACCCACTCGGGGGAACAGGACAGCCCCAGAGTCTCCATGCTTAGATCCAGACCTGCAGGCATCAAACACTGGTCAGAGAACAGCCAACAGTCGGTGCCCATTGGTCGTCTCCTGCGTACTGGGCACTGGGAGCGCGACAGGAAGACAGTGAAATCCCTCACCCTCTGCTCTGG